GATTAGACACACCTGTTATAAAGGTGAAAACATCAACATCAATTTGTACAACCTGTGACGTAAATTACAGATCTGATAGCTGTCTTAGTGATAATGTAAATTAAAACCAAATAATTTTATGTACCTCTCGGTAATGTAATTTATACCTAAAGAAACTTTCCCCTTTCTTCAAAATTCATGGAAAATTTTTACCTTAACAGGGCACATTTATTATTTCTCTCTTAATTTACATGCACCCTGTGAACTTTATATCACACGGTTACACAGGTCCACTATGCGAGAGAGAGAGAGAAATGGGGTTTAACGTCCACTCGACACAAACTGGGTCATTTCGGGACTAACATATGGTTTAATTTTATTTCAATAATTCGCTTGCGCGTAGGGGACTTTAGCAGTGGGAGGAAACCGGAGGACCCGGAGAAAACCCACGAGGTTGGACAGGCGACCCTACTCCTTGTCACGTGGTCCACTATGCTCTAAGAACATATTAATATCATCATTTGACAATATCCTATTTTGGTATATCATGAGTAAAATTAAACATCACCAATGAAAATTAATATTGATTATTGCAATTGTATATAATGAAATTATTTTAGATACTTAGAAACTTTTAAAATATATCAACAGTTTTCAAAATAAAAACAATGATGGTGATTTAGATTAGATTGTGTTTTTTTCACGTTAATACGTTGATATTATATTGTGATGACATTATACTAGGCCAATAGATCCACATTCAAGTATTTTAGACGTTTTGTAATAAAAAAGTAAGCGAAGTGTAAATATGTCATTTGCGTGAAAATAAAACAATAGGTCATAAATCATAATTCCAAATATGCGTCACTTTCCTTTGGCGCGTGGCATTCAAAAAGCAAGTATATGTGTGCTTGTAAGGAAAACAGGTGTTCAACTAAAACAAGTGGTTTGCCTTCGCTACTTTTTTTTTGTTATAACCGTAACCGAATAATTTAGATGACGATACGTAATAAGGAATCGATCATACGGAATGTGAACGCTGAATCTTTAAAAAGAATATCAGAGTTAAAATGGTTCATTTCTGTTCAGTATTTACAATATGTATTGAACAGTTACCTACATTCGGCATCCTCTGCAGACGATATATTCCAAACAAGCCAGCGCCACCTATACTTTTTGATTGACCTCTGTTTAATCCGATGGAATCATATTATAATACAAGTTCGATTGTAAAGAAGGATTAACTGGTTTTGGCGCAGAGTTTAGCCATATTATACTACGAATAAAAATTTTCTATTTTCCATATCTTCCCTTGAATTTCCCTTTTTTTGGCAACATATCTTTTCTACTGCATGGTGGGTTGGATGGCCGAATGGTTAGCTTGTGCGCGCTGTATCATAAGGTCTGTCACTAAGTCAACTGGCGGGGTTTCGATTTCCCGGTTGTACGTGACAAGGAGTAGGGTCGCCTGTCCAACTTCGTGGGTTTTCTCTGCGTCCTCCGGTTTTCTCCCACTGCAAGCGAATTATTGAAATAAAATTGAACAATGTATTAGCCCCGAAATGACCAAGTTTATGTCTCAAGAAATCGATTGAGCTAATCAGCTAACATAATCAGAATAGTGTTTGAAAAGGGTGGTTTTTCAAGCGCTCTTCTAGGGAAACGGTCAAAGTTTGATGGATAAAAAAGAATTGTGTTCAGGCTCAAGCTTGTCGGTCACCAATCGCTACTGACGTGCATTTGTTGGGTGTACGCCTTCTCGACCTTGAAGACTTATGCCTATTTCCACCAACAACAAACACCCTGCACAGCATATTATAATTAAAGTTTTTATGGAATTGTCCCCAATTTTTCAGTCAAAATCAACACTATTTTATTTCATCTCAGTGATCGAATGAATGGTTATTTTACATTGGTAACACGCTAAAGAACCATCTAACTGTTGGCAGTCAAAACAATACCCTATAGAGCTGCAGCCAGGGCGAAATTCCTTTATAGCACACTGCGTGGACAAAACTTGAATTTCTCTCTCTGTTGGAGTGAAAATTTACCGGTAAGGAAAACACAGGCCTGTATAACGAATGATATATGCCGATTTTTATTTGTCCGATATTGTATTTATTTTTTTACCAACCTTACAAAATGGATAGCAACGGATTAAGAATGATAATACAATATTACTATTATACACACAGGACGTTTAGACAAGATTTCAACAGCCGTTATCACGCATACACAATTTACAAATGCACAGAGATGCGAAAGCTTTATCACCCAACCAAACAGCTCTTTATTCATAGTCCTTAATTCTTAGTTCTTTGCCCTCAATTCTTATTTCTTCATTTGTTTACTAAAATTAACATTTTTTGGCCGATCTAAAAATCAATATTTGTTTTAAAAATCAGACATATTTTGTCATATCAGATTTGTAAAATGAATCTTTGTTTAATTTAATTGTATTTTAATATAATGATAATTTCATTTAGAAAAAATCAAACAATTACATTTACATTTCATCAGAAACATACAACGAAAAACAAATCTCGAACAACGAATTTCTAAATACAAATCTCCAAATACCAATCTTGCAAAACCATTGTCAAAAAACATTTCTCCAAATTCATCTAACCTGAATATTTTGACGACAGAGAACGCTAGTGTTGGGATGTCAAACGGCTCTACCAAGCGATAAAACTGTACTATACAATTCTTTGATTATACATTCTGCCTTGTAATTTCGCCCAGAAATAGAATGTATATTAATATACCTCGACAATGAAGCCAAACATTTTTGATTGCCACTGTTTGTGTTTGTTAATCGTCTATACAACAATCTTGTGCGTCAAGGGGAACATATATTTATTAAAGACCATTTTCAGCACTGCTGACGATCGACAAATTTTTCAGTGCATTGAACGTCTTCTGCAAAGTAACGGAGAAGTCGATTATTAGCTAAATAAACCACCCACGCGTTGCTATCAATAACCTATATAACAATATAAGCCTATCTAAATTTTTATTGACCAGCGATAATTGTCTATTAATAATGATATATTGGTTCCATATATATTCTATACAGAGACTAGACAGACTATATTAACAGTGTAATATAAACGAGAACCAAAACAGCTGGGCTAATACGAAATATAAGACTGCCGAACTCTTGTCATTTACTTTAGATCATACATAAGATCTTTATCGGTGTTCATTATGACATACTACACGCCTGTTAATGTGTAAACAAATTATTCCGATTCGGGCGCATATATTTTTAAATGACAATAATTATGTCATAAAATATATCAATGGCTAATTCCATCATCATGCACTGCTACTAAAAATAGATGTTGGTCGATACTGAGAAGCATAAGTTTATTTTTGTCAGTTTTATTGTCGATGGTTTCTCTAATTTTCAGTTTGTGGATTGATATATATGTGGCCCTTAAAAAATATACGAATTCCCGCAGGCAAGGGGAAGCAAATACATTTATGAAAGACTATTGCGGTCATGTTATAATCTCAACAATTACAACCTTTCTCAGGGATTTACGTTAAAGGAGCATTATGAAAGATTAGATAAAGAGCTGGAAGTTCCCATTTTAATAGGTAAAAACTAGATAATGTAAAGGGAATATGCTGAAAATTTCAATCAGTTTGCCCCACCCTGAACCGAGATCTAGCCTGGAGGGCCTCGAGAGTTGGTTAAGGTCTATTCGTGTTAATAAATGTCTAATTAATAGTTTATATAACATTTCAGGCCTAAAGAAAGTCCTGAAATAGGCATCTTTAGCTCTTGAATAATGTTTGTTATGTTTGGTTCTGTGTATAGGCCTGCCAGGGTTATCATGGGTGAAGTTACGCTGCACCCCCCCCCACCACCACCACTACCAAATTACAATCTGCGACGAGTATGAAATAGGGGGGATGCTAATTGTAGGCCGGTTCGGGGGGTTCGGGAATTTCCAGAGTCCACAATGACCGCTTTATATAAATGAGTATTTGTTTTCCTCATTAATGCAAGGGAGTCCAGGTGGATCACTGTGTAAGGTGCTGGCTGACTAACCAGAAGGTCCGGGGTTCGATCCTGGTCCGTCGTGGTTTTCATTGTCAGTGGCGCAGGACGGACGACTCTGTGAGTAAGGTGCTGTGTCGCTAATCAGGAGGTCCGGGGTTCGATCAGTTATGGGCTGCTATGGTTGATTTTGTGTTCTGGTCTGCTGTCGACATTAAGACCAAAATGAAACAAAAATAAGTCAAAAGAATTCGGCTTAATAATTCGAAACAAAATTTATAATTATACAGAATTCGCCCCATCACTCATCGAAATAACTTGTCAAAACAACCAAACTGAACACTTTATTTTGACCTAAATCAAAGAGGTTTTTCCCCGACACGTCTTATTCTTTTGCTCTATTTTCTTGTGATGCTGAACGACCAGGGAATTCCGAACTTTTTAAGAGGTTTACAAGCATCCCCCAATTGAAACACATTATTGCCTACATTCCACACCACTGAAAAGGGGGGACTATAGCAATTCTTTCTTCCCCCTTTTTAACGCCTGTATTGCCTTTATTGTGGACTGTTTGATCTAGAATACAAGAACAGGGTTTGAATCGACATTTTCTGCTAAGGTTTGGTGAATATGCAAGGTTTAGCGGAGGAATAATAGCAGGGCTAAGAGGTTGGTGGCGGTGATAAACGGTGATTTATTTACTTGTTTGGTAGTAAGCTACTTCCAATTTGTGCGTCCCCAAATTTGCATGGCCAGCCTTTTACAAACTGTGGTGGAAAGCGTTCAGCTCAACTAAATTTGGGGACAAGCTGCAGCCGGGCAAAGAGACAGTGGGAGAATATTTGGTGGTCTGCATCCAAGCATTATTAGGAGTTGTCACCCGTTTCGATATCCCTTAAATTAAGACATTAAACGGATTTGCTTCCTAAAAGGATGTAAATCTTACTTTGTTTTGTTTCGCTCTTTCGTTCGTTGAATAGATACTTTTAAATACACAAAAAGAATATACGGCAGTATCTGCTATACGAAACTAACAGACATGAAAGGTCAAGGACGTGGTGCTCTTTCGCGCCAAGTTGACAGAAAAATGAAAACATTCTGTTATTAAAAAGGGAAAACAATGGATTGGTAAATCAGATTTTGTTACATTGGTTAAAATATAAAAAATTACTGTTCACGTCAATTACCTAGCAGTAGGTCTGTAATTATTTTTTCAATTCTACAACTTAGGAGTACTCAAATAAACCTATTTGTACATTTTTATTCATACTCGACATAAATATTTTAATTATCAATAGGCTAGGGGCAATATCAATTCAATAGGGCCCATAAAAGCCTAAAAAGGCATATAATGCCATAGGCCATGACGATAGATGATAGGATATCATAGACTAGCCTATAAGTGATTTTGTTTTGTAGTTTGCAGATCTACACAACTTCCAACATACAATATTACATGTATTGTATGATGATGGGACAGTGAGTTTCTTTCGACCAGCGACTAGGTCTAGGGTCCTGTTTCACAAAGTCAAATCACATACTTAAAAAAACTCCATTGACATTGTGTATTGAAATTGAATTTGCAAGTCAGTAAATACATGTACATGTTCGTAACAAACATGTCAGATGACTGTATGATTTACACAGTACTAGGCCCAATCTGATTAAAACACAGATCCTATTTCGTTTCGTTTTTTATAGTTCAAAATTTCGTTTAACTTGTCTTTACTAGTACTACACTAGAATCTGGAAGAGTTGTTATATTACCGGCATTTGGTTGATGTGAGGGATAAGCCAATGAAACAGTCTGTTACGGCGACTACTTGGCTTGCCATGCACAGAACTGTCGGTAAACCATGAAACGCCAACACTGATTAATTAAACAATGTCTGATGTCATAGGGTCAAAAGCCACTTGTACGACCCCTGAGACGACCTTTGAGTACAACTTTTCAGATCTTCATGTAGTGTAGGCCGACGAAAGTATAAAAAAGAAAATGAAATATAGATCTGTATTTTAATCAGATTGTACACAGTGTTTATTTTATGTTGATGATACACAGAAGTATTATAATTATTAATGTTAATGATTTGCTATATTTACTGCCAGAGTTATTGCTCTTGTGAAATTTGAAGAATCGTGATAATGCTGTCTGCCAAGAGCCTTTACATTATCCAATTGACTTGAATTTCTTAAGACAGAAAATCCTATTGATTTTCAACAACGTCTTATAAAGTTAACATCTGAAACTGGGTATATTAATAAATGTTAGCGCAGGAAGAACTAGAAGCCAATATTTTTTATATTATTTCTGATAAATTAAAATACTTCTGTTCATTGGTTGTTACTTTGGACCTGTTCTTAGTGACTTGTCAATGCTGCCATTACCTACAAAAGAATAAATATATGACAACCTTAGTGGACTGCTTGGACAACTTAGCTGCTATGGGTGAATGTGTCATTTCCTGGTAACCCATCTTTGATAATGTTAATAATTTTTCTTTTGTAAATAGATGTTACTGTTTTTGGCAGTCTGATAATCATGGCTGGTGTGACAGTATTGCAGAAAATTGAAAACATGGAAAAAACTCAAAAGGTAATTTTTGACTTCCTTCTTATACATACTTTGTGGCTTTTTCAATAGTAACAATGACTAACAATATGTGCTGCAATAATGTGTGATTAAGGAAATGACTTGTATGACTTTATGACACTAGACTTTTCATCTCTTTTGATTCAAAATATTGCAATAAAGAATCAGACACGGTTTTCATGGGAAAAATTATTGATAGCTTGTTTGACCATTTTTCAATTGCAGCAGATGCTTTATTGAGACTTGAAATTGCTTGTGATGTGTATCTGTAGTAAATTTTCATATTTTTTTATGTAGAATCCTGATCATGTTGAAGAATTACAAAGTCCACAAAGATCAATTACTGATTTCTTCAAATCTCCACCCTCCAAACAATTGAATTTAATGAAGGTCTTCTCTAGTACACCTATAGATAAAAATGCTAATAAAGCTTCTACAGTACACAGTGAGGTAGACGATTTTAATATTTTAGCCCAAGATGGTAATAAAATCATTAAAAAGAAGAAAAAATCAAATAAAGTTAGAAGTGAAAAGATCCTCAGAAATGAAAACAAAGATACCGGTATTGAAAATCATGGAGGGAACATAAAAGTTCCTTCTGAAGATCTGAATAAGTCTGGTATTTGTAGGAGACTAAAGTCAAAGAAAAAAAAATCTAAGAAATCAAAAGATTTAGATGAAGATTTTATACAACATTTTGACTCCATACGTGTAATAAGTGATACTAGTACTGATGATGTTAATTCTTCCAAAAATGAAAATTTGACCAAAAAGTTCCAAGTAGATGATGTGCAGTCGGACATTGCGGAACATACACCCACTATAACCAGAAAGCACAAATTAAATGAACAGAAAAGTGGAGATATTCTTCCAGATGAAAATTTTTCCGTTACTAAAATCAAAAGGAAGAGACTGTTGGATTGTGAGATATCCGAAAAACAAAATAAACGTTCAAAATGTGATCTGGTGGAAGATGTAAAAAAGAATATTGAAAGTATTTCCTATGAAGATTATCTAAAAGGTCTTGGAAATTCTAATGCTGAGGATCAACTAACTACTGACAATCAGTTATGTGCAAAAAAGGAAGAAGAAGAAATATCTTTGAATTCAATTCCTAAAGATTATCCTTCCATAACAAAATATTTTGGTACAAAATCAAAAATTCAGAATTCCAATTCACCCCAATCAGAGGGTATAAGTAGATCACCATCACCAATTACTATCACTGCAGACATTCATCCAGAGCCATCATCTCCTCCATCTAAACCAGCAGCAGGTGTCTATGACCTTTTTACTAAAAAACCTAAAGTTTCTTCAAAAATGCATAATTCTTATTGTGAAAAATCTGTTTTATTGTCACCAAACTCTTCGTGTATAAGTTTAGATAGGGATGAAATAATTTTGATAAGTTCAGAAATACAACCATCAGATAATGTTGAGATGTGTAAAAATTCAAAAATGAGAAATGAAAAACATGCAGCATTGTGTTCTCCTAAAACAAGTGAAAAGGACAATACAAAATCAGATTCTGCTACGGTGAAAGAAACAGAAAAATTGGATTCATCTATTGAAATAATTTCCTCGCCTAAACTTGTGAAATCGGTCTCAAAGGAAGGTAAAGCTTTTTTGACAAGTGGCAGTCAGTTGGTAATTCCATCAAAAACGGCACAAGCAACTTTGTCCTTTACTAAATGCGGATTAAAGATGGACAAAAAGAATACTATTAAAGAAAAAGAAGTGATTATTGAGGAAAAAGAGATAGTTAGTACTGAAACTCTATTTGTGGAAAAAGTCAAAATATCAAGTAAAAAGTTAAAGGCAAAGAAAAATATTGAACAGGTTAATGAGAAACCATCATTTGATGATACTACTGAAGATATTTTAAGTCCAAGAAGATCAGTGAGAAAAAAATACAAAGTAACTAGTCTGCAGTTTGACGATAGCAAGAAAACACCAATTAAAATAAAAATAAGGTAAATACAGTATAAGTTAGGGGGGTGTCACAATATGTGATGAACGTCTGCCGTCTGTTTATGCTTGAGGACATGTTTACAATGATGCAGTGGGCCATAGGTTTGAATAAAATTATACACTGTAACCCAGGTATCATTTAATCTTGTGTATCTAGCACTAATTTCTTTCACATTCGTTTAATATCCAATCTTTGTTTAAAAATTTGTAAAAACTGTTTAAAATCACCATAAATCATTTAATTTGTACTTCTGTCCAGTTTAAAACTGACCATTCAATTTTGATAATGAGTGTCCAATTTACAAGTGTTTAATTTCTCAATTATAGTTAAAAAATAACCCAATTGATTAATGATGTATAATGATTAATTTTTGAACAGTGATCAGGAAATTAAAAACTTGTAAATTGGACACTCATTATCAAAATTAATCAGTCAGCTTTAAACTGGACACCTGTACAAATTAGATGATTTTTGGTGATCTTAAACGATTTTTACGAATTTTTAAACAAAGATTTGATATTAAACGAATGTGAAAGTGATAGTTATAGATAGGACAATACCGGTACTAACATTTCATAAATTTTATTTTAAAGACATTTCTGTCCAGACAATGGGAGTAATAGAATAGATCTATCAAGTATCTCCAATTAATATTGATTCAGTAATTCTTTCAGAATGCTTCTTTTCACTTAGTTTTCCAGTGAAATTTTCTTTTATTGGCATGCCAGTTGGAGATTTTTGATAAGCCCAGCCAGTTTTATATATTTTAAAACCTTGTTATTACAAGTAGTTGCTACGTTACCTATAAAAATGATTCATATTTGGAACAGGAAGTGTTTATCTCCTAATTCTGTTTGTATTTTTCAGATGTAGAAGAAGTATTGGAAATACAAGTACAGAAGAATCCGAATTTACACCAAGATCTAAGAAAACATCTAGTGCTAAAAAAGACAGTGCTAAAAAGGTATGAAACATGTATTGTTTTCGTAAGAGTTTTTTTATTTTTTTAAATTTTTTTTTTTGTGGATTTTAGTCGGAAGTTGCAGCCAAAACTGTGCATGGTGCAAATATTCTGCCAAATTAGATATTGTTGGCCTCTGTAGAACTATTAAATATAAATTGTGTAATTTTTGACAAACAGGAAATGATTTACAGAAGGAACAATAAAATCTCTGATTGCCCATATCTCAGTTATTTCGCAACGGATCTTCGTCAGGTTTTCATTTTTTGATTCTTTGGATGAATCTCATCGAGGCCCTGACTGACAGTTTTTCGAAATTCAGAGGTTTGCCGGCCATTGTTTCACTTTGTTAAAGTTCTCATTCGATCTGTATGAAATTGATATCAGTGTCTTGTAAATGCTCCCATTACCAACAAAAGAATTAATATGCAACAACACTTGTCTACTACATCGACAGTCGTTGTACAGTACTGGAATCATTTACACCTTATACAATTACAGTCCTATTTTCAGGACTCTAAACATATATTAAAAAAACCTGAACAACAGGAAATAAATCTGTTAATATTTTTCTATTAACAGCTTTCAAGAAAACTACTTAAAGCTCAAGAACTTATTGTGAAAGCAAAACTTCATAAAACCAAACAAAAGGAAAAGAAAGTAAAAAGAAAACCTAAGAAGAAGGAACCAATTGAAGAATATGTTCCCAACCGACGTCTGAGTCCTCGACTAGCAACTAAACCAAATATATCTTTAGAAGTTATAGATTTAGATGAAGATGTTGTTGAAGTTAAAAAAGTAAAGGCAAAGAAGGGCAAAGTCTTAAATAATAAACATATCATCAGAAGAGTTCAGTCTCCTGCCAAAACAAAATCCCCTAGAAAGGGTACCTATGGTAATTATTTCTGAAACAAAAATCCATGGCTTGAAATATTCATATGTCTACATGTCGCCGACAGGCGATTTTTACATCTGACAGGTAGCAAGTAAAACTACATGTCACTTGTGACAGATGGACTAAATTTTACTTGATGTCCTGTAAATTGACTTAAGATCACAATACTCATGTCCTTGTCGCGTACATTTAATTATTCGTTTTTAAATGCAAGAATTAAGCACGGAAATACTGTGAAAGGCCGCCATTTGCCCTGTTGCCATTTCACTGTCGTACAGTTACTCACAGTTGGAAGTAGCCAATTTTATAGCAATGAATTTTACACCATCTGTGCTTGTTTTCATCTGCTTGACACTAGTTTATAATTATAGCCCTATGAAATATTATATATAAATAAATTAAAGACTTATACCCCAAGTCAGCTTAACTAATTTTACCATAAGGACACCACAGTAAATATATAAGGTAGCTGGAATGGAAATGCACATGGCTCGTTGTCTGGTGTATTTAATCATTTAAAAGGCTGTGACTAATTTACTAGAAAATTTGACAAAATCTAATAATAAGGCCGGAAAAATAGTTCATATATAAATATAATTTTTAGAGTTATATAGACAGAATGTGAGAAACGAATTTCAGGGGGCATTGCCTGTCCACCGCATAAGGTACATGTAAATATGATGCCATGCACAGGTGTAAAATCGTGTTTTGATATTCAATTTATTACAGATATTCCAGAATCTGAATTCTACACCTCAGCGGCAAAGTATTCAATTTAGCAAGCAAGTTTGGTACGATGAAAGTTTTCGAAATTCATGTGTATATGGATTATAGAATTGCACGATTCTTCAAGTCGTTGAGTCAAAGCAGATCTGCGGACTTTCAAGAATTTTTAGTCCTTCGGGTGTCAAAGAAATAAAACGGTTTCATATTACGATATTCATATCAGACCATAACTCTCTTGATTATGGCCCCTGATTGTACGAAAAATCGCGTTTTTATCTTGTGGTGCCTCTAGAGGTTACAATTTTTATCTGATTTAAAAAATCGTTCCTGATGATGGGAGAGTTTGAATTTTGTAAAAATCAGACCAAAACTGCTGGACAAAATGGCCGCTCCCCATACGCAAATAGTGTAAAACTATGGTATATCAAGGTTGTGTACCCTCTAGAGGTCATAATTTTGATCCAATGTTAATGAAACTTGAAATGTATGTTTATAACCCAAAGATCTCGGTTCCTTTCAATATTTGCACATATTGTACTGTAACTTCCTGTATTATGGTCCCGGATTGTACAAAGTATCACATTATTTTTTTAGCTCGGTCTCTGTTCAACTCTTGCAAAATGTGGGCATATGTTTGTTTATCTTTGCTTGGCATCGGGCAAAAAAATGTTCATCATCGAAGTCAATCAATGTATTCACTAAAAACACCTACAAGGCCGAATAGTTTTTGTGTGCACATTGCATCATAAGGTCTGTCATGGAGTCAACTGGCTTGGTTTCGATTCCCCGGTTGTACGTGACAAGCAGTAGGGTTGCCTGTCCAACCTCGATATTCTCCGTGTACTTCGGTGTCCTTCCACTGCTAAAGACCCCTACGCGCAAGCGAATTATTGAAATAAAATTGAACCATGTGTTAGTCCCGAAATGATCTAGTTTGTGTCAAGTGGGTGTTAAACCTCATTTTTCCCTCTCTCATGGGTTTTCTCTGGGTCCTCCAGTTTTCTCCCACTGCAAAGGACCCCTGCACGCAAGAGAATTATTGAAATAAAATTGAACCATGTTAGTCCCAAAATGACCTGGTTTGTGTCGGGTGAACGTGAAACCCCATTTCTCTGGCTACACCAAATTTGAAAAACGTGATTGAATATGTGCTTTGTTTTCCAGGAACTTCTAAATTGGCATCAATATTTAGCACAAAGAAAAATGAAGGGACTGAACCCGAAATAGTGAAAGAACCCGAAGATCCTGAAAAGGTTCGCTTGCGACAGGCATTTCTTAGTAGTGGTATACCTGATGAAATTAAAAAACAGACTGAGGTATATCCAGTAGTGGCTGTTCTTCCAGAATTTTCACCCTTTCCTCACATAAGTCATGTTCAACAAAAAACTAATTCGACAGCATGGAATTTACCAGCTGTCGCTTTGACTCTAACAAATCAGTTTGACTTTTCCAACTCTGTTGTCAGTTGGAAAGAATTGGGTCTTCAAAAACTCTACAAGGAAAATATTACTACCCCAATCTTTGATATAAAGGTAAGCTGACAAACTTATGAAATTTACAACTCATATATGTTTCAGTTCAGAATGTAGTATGGTGAAACAAAAAATTGCACCTGCATAATACTACCCACTACCACCCAATGCTAATTAAATACTACCAAATACCATCACATATTACCTCATTATTGTGAGAAACTATCACATTTGAATTATCACAGTTAATTTGAAATACCTATAGTATCAGTGATAAATAGAAGGGCTAAACATTGAATAAATAATTTATTTCCCACAAACATACAAGGGCTGGCTGAAAAGTTCTAAGCCTATCTGTGAAAGACCTGTACAAAGTCGATGGTTTCCATTCATTTATCTAAATAGTTCCTTTCGAGGTGTACACACTTTTGACAAAGATGTTGCAAGGCCTGGATGCCGGTCAGGAAGAAATTTTCTTCAGCCATCCTAAAAAAAAAAAGTCGTTCACGGCTCACATGGCGTCATCATTACATGGAAAATGACACCCGGCTATTTCCTTTTTCATTTTTGAATAATGTTTTCTTGAATGGTTGCTGTTGATGGCCCTATAGGACACGTGTCATCGTCAAGGCTTTCTCTGCCACGCTTAAATTTCACAGCCCACTTCTTTACTGTGGATAAGGAAGGGGCACATCCCCTAAAGTGGAGACCATGTCAGCACATATCTGTGTTGGGGTTAGTCCTTTCAGTTGCAGGTAATTGATGACTGCCAGTTTTGTCCATTTCTGGTGGTTTCAATAAGTATGTTGACAAGATGGTCTGGTACGAAGATAATAACAGTACAGTTGCAGTTCTTCAACCATTCAATGATTGTACTTGTTGGAGGCAAAAGTTTGTTTCAACCCAATTGATCTATGCTTTTCAGGCTTAGAGCCCTCTTATTGTTATCCAAATAATTGTACTTATATCTCATTTTTGTGTAATATTGGCCCATTATTTTACAGAAAAGACTTGATTTTTGATAGCACATGTAAGTATTTGTTGATAAAGGGAGATAATTGGAATAGTGAAACATAGACAATGACATTTTTGTCATATATTATTTTGCATGTTTTTCACAATAATGAGGTAGTATTTAATTAGTATTGGGTGGTTTTGGATAGTACTGGATCAGTCATCCTGCCCATAATAATGAGGTAGTATTTAATTAGTATTGGGTGGTTTGGGGTAGTACTGGATCAGTCATCCTGCCCATAATAATGAGGTAGTATTTAATTAGTATTGGGTGGTTTTGGATAGTACTGGATCTGTCATCCTGCCCATAATAATGAGGTAGTATTTAATTAGTATTGGGTGGTTTGGGGTAGTACTGGATCAGTCATCCTGCCCATAATAATGAGGTAGTATTTAATTAGTATTGGGTGGTTTTGGATAGTACTGGATCAGTCATCCTGCCCATAATAATGAGGTAGTATTTAATTAGTATTGGGTGGTTTGGGGTAGTACTGGATCAGTCATCCTGCCCATAATAATGAGGTAGTATTTAATTAGTATTGGGTGGTTTTGGATAGTACTGGATCAGTCATCCTGCCCATAATAATGAGGTAGTATTTAATTAGTATTGGGTGGTTTGGGGTAGTACTGGATCAGTCATCCTGCCCATAATAATGAGGTAGTTTTTAATTAGTATTGGGTGGTTTGGGGTAGTACTGGATCAGTCATCCTGCCCATAATAATGAGGTAGTATTTAATTAGTATTGGGTGGTTTGGGATAGTACTGGATCAGTCATCCTGCCCACAATAATGAGGTAGTATTTAATTAGTATTGGGTAAATCGTCCTGCCCATATATTGTTATCACAATTGTTATTCTTTAACCAAAGAAGAAATTTCGATAATAACACCTATTTAAATAGCCGAAAGGGGCTATCTCATTAATAAATAATTATTATAAGTGCTCCTAATATTTTATTTCTTGGACCAATATATAAAATTTTTGTGTAAAGTGGTATAGACACACAAATTTACGATACCCTGCCAATGGCTGCCATACATGTAAATAAAAAACATGGAATCTTAATTAAATTTGAAAAGTCTTTGAGCATTATCAAAAATGACCGACACTGAAAATTTTGAAGTGGTAACCACATTTCTATTTCAATGTTTGTCTCTGATGTCATTGATTGAAATGTTTGGAATTTACTTCTAATTATTGCAGAATTTTTCACATCATAAATGGTTACCAGATGAAAGCTGTAAGAGATTACTTGAAGATTTAAGAAAATTTAATTCTATCTATCAGTTTCAACAGATGTTTGACACATTCAAAGCTAAAAAGTTAGAGGAATTGAAATCATCTAATACAGATGACAATCAGGGTGAGTATAATTCACATTGTTAGTGTCATCATGTTGGTCTGCATTTCCATCTGATCAGAATTTGTTGTAACTAGAGGACGATTGTCATGGGATCTTTTTGAAATTCCAATTGTTCAGTTTGCTGATTTTCAAAAATATTCAACAGATTTACAAACTCTCCTTGACTTACGAAAACTTGGGATTACATTTTCATGGGCTATTTTGGATATTAAGTCATGGAGTTACTCTCTTTCAGTAAGCCCCCCCCCCCCCTCCTCCAAATTCCTGTAAAGGTTGCTTTTTTTATCTGGAAATTTAAATAATCATCATTTGTAGGCAGGAATTAAAATAATTCCTTATTAATTTTCACCACATAAGTATGTATCCATCAAATTTGAGTCAGACTTTGCTAATTCCAAGATAAATCCTACTATTATATATAGACATGCAGATATGGTTAATTTTAAAAAAGCTTAGAATCGTTTAGCTTTGTTACATTTTTAATCCACATTAACTGGAGTTATGACCCTTGGGTGTGTGTGTGTATTTTATGGCTACATGTAGTTACAGATTAAGTTCTAGTTACGTTCCATTCACCACATATTTACTGTAAAAGATCTTCAAATTCTATTTTTCTGGACCTTTTGTCCCCAGATTGATTTGATATTATGTCTGATTATTGCAACTGAAAGCAGTACTGTCATTCATTAAAATACTGCAATAAATCAGTTTTCAGAACTTGAATCAAGATATATTGTTGAAGTGAAATGTATGTCAAGAGAGAGAGATATAAACTAGGTCATTTTGTGACTAACATAAGGTTCAATATTATTGCATTTAGGTAAATATAAATAATCAAAATGGCCGACAGTTCTTTTGATAGTTGAATTCTGTTTGTGGCTTAATAATAGACGGCATGTAAAATTCTAGCATGCCTAATTGTATATTATTATTATTTCAAATTATATTATCACCATTGGTTGGAAATGTAAGAACAAGTTGAATAGAGTCGAATTTCAAATAAGAAAATGGTCTGCCATTTGTTTCATTACTGCCAGCAAACTGCTCTAAAGTGAACGACAAGTCAGTGCAGTCCTTCATGTTTATAAAATTTATACAAAATTGACAATCCTTGGATGAAATTTGACGTGTAAATACTGAAAATATATTGTTCTATACAATGTGCGAAAAGAATAAAGTCATCAAAAATAGAATCTGATCTTAGTAGGTAATCTCAAAACTGGGCTAATGTATTATGTAAAGACTTATTTTGTAAGTTATTGCATATACCGGTAACTAATTGTTTTATAATAGGCCTACCTGAGAAAATAAAATTGTTTCATGTTGTCTTTTTTATCACACATTGGCAGATAAAATATTCCAGTTGGCGGAAAAAAAATCATGAACATTTTTTTATATAAAATTTATTATCCAATTTGGCGGAAAAAATTGAAAGCTAGCGTGAGCCCTGTATAGTGTTACAGGCTTATTTGAGATATTAAACTGATACTTTATCCGTGTCATTTATGTTATAGATTTTACTAAAAATAACACTAAACTATGTACTTTCATATTTCAGAAAAATCAAAATCTGAGGATTCTAGAACTGAGGAACTTATTGTAATAGATGAACCATCAAAAGCACAGAAGAAAAATAAACTAAAAAGGAAAAAGGATAAAAGTAAGCAGGAAATAGAAGATACAACAAAAGTTTTGGATTCTGCACCAAAAATGCTCCCAGGTAAATTCTTGTCAGATTATTTTGAAATGCAGATTGTAGTGGCAATTAGATTTCTGTTGAACCTCTATTGTTCAAATCAGCTTACATATCGTTATGATTATAATGTAATCTTATAAAGTATAGTATAATTCGCTTGATACATTTTATTGTATCATAATATCCAAAAGTGACAGCATACAAACAATAATATCAGTTTTATGTTACTGTATAAATATTTTATTTATGATATATTAATTACATCAGGGCTGCCGACAACCAGTATCACACCGCAAATTTGCGATACATATTTTGTCTGTTACTAATCAAAATTACTGCGAATCATTAATATGCCTGTCATTTTGGATATTGACACAAGGATAATCCACATTTTGAAGACTAGAAGGCTTTCTCTACATTTTCAACGTGTATAATATGTTGAATAAAACTTTATAAGCAAAACTGAATTCTTCGTGTGACATTTTCTACTCGAACTACCCAGACACAATTCATTATACTATATAATACAGGGACATAACTCTATAAATAGGGACTATTAAACCGGAAATAGGGAATCAAGTAGTACCACTCACTTTGCGAGACATGTCATTTTCAAGTAATAATATCAGTATTCATTTTGAAAGAAATAAATCTAGTGTATCCCCCACGTATTGTAAATAAAATAAATACATGTTGTTAACGTATTATAAAATGATAAATCGAAGTAAGAATGTGGCAGTGCTTAAAAAAAATCGAAGAATGAAATCTAATCATTTGTTATGAATTAAAGTAATATCTTGTTATTTAGGTGTTTTATGTTGAAACTGAAAAACTGCTAATCAATTTTTAAATTTGCTAATCAAATTTGACAGAATTGGACTTTTTGATTAGCAGTGCTGCTAATCAGCTGTGAAAAATTACCGACAGCCCTGAATAACAGTGGTAGTATTGTGATGATAATCACTGAATAGAAAAGTCTTTGTGCTAATTTCCAGACATGTCAAATTATTCAAAACAGTAACTTTATGGTAATTGTCTGTATTAATGCTTTATGATTGTATTTGACAGGGTAGGGTTCAGGGAATATGATAAGCAGTATTGAATCCCATTTTGCTAAACAAAAACGACACAAGTGCAAATCAAATATTTATTGGATTAGCAGAAAGTTATCAAGTTTAATGGAATTTGCGAATCAAGTTTCTTATTCAAAATCAAGCGTGAAAAAATGTTTAACAAACGTGATTTACCGTTCCACGGCGTCCAGTTGTACATTTATGAAAAAGGGCACAACTCTTCTATTGTGATTAACCATGTCAACTGTTTTTGTTCAACATTAGTAGGGATTATTTATTACTGGATGATCGTAACACTCTTGAATCCTGCTATTGGTTAAATATGGTGTCATCTGCTAAACTTTGAGGGTAAAAGAAGGGAAACGTAAATATGATGCCGATGATAATTGTAAGCAGAATACATTCAAAATATGAAAGTAGAGTAAATCACATAAGAACTTCAGTAGGGCCTTTTGTATTGGGATTACCAGGACTTCTCTAAAGTCTGATCTTCGTAAATATACACTTTTGTATAGATATTATGGCCTGTATAGATCATTCAATACAACACAGTGAAAAGTTCCTTTTTGCTATTTAATCAAAAGGAACTTTTTTTTAAAACATCCTATAAATGCTGATAAATTATATTCCCTTATCATATTCCCTGGTAGGGTTGATCTGAATGGGTCGCGGGTGATGGAAAATTGGAAAAAATAGGAAATACCTGATTAAAAGTGCTAACTGCTTATGTTTTTAGAGTTAATGTGGACAGAACGTTATCAACCAACTCATTCGTCAGATATCATAGGCAATACAGGAAATATCAATAGACTTAAAACATGGCTGTTAGAATGGAAACACAAAACACATAAAGATGCTAGAAAGATGAAGAAATTATTGACCAAACAATCCAAGACTTCCAAAACATCTAGTAAGATAATTACAAGATTTATTGAATGGGTAGTTTATTAAGTTTGTTATAAACAATGTCTTTATTTATCAGACATTGATTTGATATAAAAATGAACGAATGGTTTAACTCATGCACTTTAGATCATATGGTCTGTCATTGCGTCAAGTGACATGGTTTCAATTATCCTGCTTGTACGTGATTTGGAATAGGGTTGCAAGTCCAACCTTTTGGGTTTTCTCAAGGTCCTCCTACTGCTAAATACCCCAAATGATCTAGTTTTTGTCGAGGGGATGTTAAACCCCATTTCTCTCTCTCGTCACAGTTTTGGTCTCATGAAAAAGGCAGACTATTTGCTATTTCTAGTGGTTAATAATAATTTCAATATTAGAGAGCTGTGAACAACTCTCACCAATTAAAATTAAATTCCGTTCTCCTCATGTATAATGGTTTGGTTAATATATACTATGTTTTTATAGGTCAAGATGATGGTTGGCTTAAAGAAGATAGCGATTTTTATTCTGAAGATAGTGAAGATGAGGAAGACACATTATGTAATACTATGCTTATTACAGGATCGCATGGTATTGGTAAGACAGCAACAGTATATGCCTTAGCCCAGGAATTAGGATACAAGGTATATATTATCAGTTTTGAATACTTCGTAATATTTCTGTTTTCTAAGTAACTGTTGGCAAGATTTTGTTCCCAGATATCAATGTAATATTACATACATTGTAGTCTTACTTTTAACATCTGCAGAATTATCTGAATATATGAATTAAGTCCTTTATTGGCCTAAAACTAAAATCTGTGTTATCATTTTAGTTGTCAGTCTGTGTAAAATATTTTATGAAAGTTTTTACAAATAAGACTGCCGAATGTTAATATTGTGCAAAACATGGTATACTGTTATTTTGTAGTCTAGGATACGCATTAATCACTACATGACATATAATGATATCATTAATTCAATAAAGCATATAACTTGTGGTCATCTGGAGGGAACGGCTACATGTGTTTTCTATAAAAACATAAATAAATGAAAAAAACATCCAGTTAAAAAAACCAAATCATAAGCTAGCTGTCTGCTCTTTCTTGAGCATCATCAGTTGTTATAATATATACTTATTTATTCCATGTTTTATACAGGTATTTGAAGTGAATACATCATCTTCTCGTAATGGTAAAAAGATATTATCTAGATTACAAGAGGCAACACAATCACACCAAGTAGGTCAAGTTAAAGATGGTATACCACCTCCTGTCTTTACACCTACAGATAATACAGTATCAGGTAAATACTATATTAATAAACAATTGCCACACAGAATTTAAAAAAAAAAGATTTCAATGGATTTTGTTGGGCAGCAGTATTTAGATAACGTATTTTTAAATACGATAACTTCCAACTGAAAGTTTGTAATAGCTTTCTTTAAAGGGCCAATCTCGGTTTTATTTTGGAGAATAAAGCTGCTTAATTTTGTGTTAAAGGCCTGTAAAATCCCCAACCTTAGGGCCGAGCAACCAACTCAATATAATTGATACGTTTTCAAACAAGTTAAACCCGTCTGTCTTCATCTGGAAATAGAGACCAGTGTCCCAAGCTGTATTATACGGTGTATGGATAAGACCAGACTTTTATTTTATAAAAATAACGTGTAGGTTAAATTTACCTTTCGTTATCAAGTACAGCACTTGGGTCATGTACTGTATAGACCTCCAAAGGAACGGCAATCAATTATCAGGTCATCCAGCGAAACAATTGACCCGAGATCTTAAAAGGGTTACGTGTCCAGATAAGCGGTTTTGGTGTTCACGTTCCAAACGACTCAATATTTTGAGCTGAAATTTTCAGACAAGGTAAATACACCATTCCTCTGTATTTTTGCGCTTAAATTTCATACGTACACAGCCCTTTATTTTTTAGACTCCCTTCAAATCAGGATAGTCCCTTTAAAGGGATGAACTGAATTAAAGCATTTCTAATTGGCTGGGGATATCACAAATCTATCCAATGACTTATGTTTGTTTTTTACATTTGTATTGAGCATTATACCATTAAGTCGACAGTATTTGAGGGTAAAATTGATAATGATCAAAATTGAAGGGTTGCTGCCATTTTACAAGGGCAGGTTTGTTCCCCTTGTGTTCAAAAATGATGACAATACATCATCTTTATCGATCTGAAATTTAGCCCTGCAGATATACCCCATTTTCTGGTGGTTTTGTCCACAAAATATAGATTTTCTAGCTGAAAACATTGCATTATGTAAATTTGTTGATATTGTTTGCCTATTTGTGAAAAGCTTTGACAATATTTGTCAATATGTACTGATATTTCAGCCACCAAGAAAGATACACCTCAAAACAAACTACCAACAGCATTTACAAATTTGTTTAATAAAGCTAAGAAATCATCTGATGTAGATACAAAGAATGATGTTGATGGAAAGAATAAGCTAAGGAATAAAACCACTCAAGAAAATGATAAAACTGAAAGCAAAAAAAGAAAAAGAAAAAATAAGACGGACACTGGTATGATCTTGCTTTGTTTCCAAACCCTTTGTCTGATGCTCTATTTGCTCCGGGTGGTGGGGGGTCTAGTGGTTTAATGCATGCACGTGAAATCAAAGGTCTGTCATTGAGTCAAGTGGCATGGTTTTGATTCCCTGTTTGTACGTGACAAGAACCTCAGGCGTTTTCTCCGGATCCTCAGGTTTCGTCCCACTGCACTAGCGAATTATTGAAATAAATTGGCCCATATGTTAGTCCCGAAATGATCTAGTTTGTGTCAAGTGGTTATCAAATGCATTAGAAAATGTATACAGCAGTATTATGGTCTTGTGGGAATTATAGAAATAAAAGCTAAAGATTAGAAAACTTGCTTACCGGTACCGTATGATTAAGAAAATAACATATTCCAGTGCAATTTTATAAAATATTGACAATTCACATGTTGTACAAATGCAGTGTATAGGTTTACTCTTATTATGCAAAACATACCATTCTAGGGGGCACTAGTCTCTCTAGTTATTCAATATTAGGATTTACGTCACAATTCTGCGGTCTGTAATGCTATAAGAGATGGTCTAAAACCAATAATTATGAGAAATTTGCCTTGGATAATTCTATATGTAATGTTATTGTATTACAACTCAAAAATATCAAGGTCAGTGTATTTTCTGTAGAGCATGTGGTAATACGTGTGAGCTAATGGAATGATTGTTCTACAGCCATTTCAGCTCTTTATTTGTCTTTAACCAATTAAGAAATTTCGATAATAAAAGCAATTTAAAGAGCCGAAAGGGAATATTTCATTAATGAATAATTATTATAAGCCCTAATAATATTTTATTTTGTTTAATTTGCAAAGATTATCGTGTGTTATCAAAAATGACAGACAGTGAAAATTTTGAAGTGGAAGCCCTGGTTTGCTCCTTATTTAAAACAAGAAATAAAATAAGTAGGGTAGTAACTAATTCAAACTAAGTCAATTTCTGCACAAAATGGTTATGTAGAATAATAAATTACTGAATAAAGCGGTTAAAACAAAGTTATGGTGTAAAATGGAACAAATTCTTTGTTAATAAAAAGTCTTAATTTATACCTTGTTAAAGAATATAATCTAGAAAAATAGTAAAAATATAAAGGGCTTTGGCCCATTTAGCTTTGCAAAATGCAGATGTTCTTCCCACATGTACTTGTAAAATGGAAAATTTCTTTCAATAATAATGTTAAGCTGAGACAATAGTATTAAGTTCATATTCATGTAATAGACATAATTAAATTAAGAGGCAAATAAATAGTCTGAATCTGCTTCTCAATCAGTCTATAAATACAAAAGTAAGATATATAGATATACCAGCTCCCTTTCTCTTTAATTTTCTGAAATAGGAATTTCGGTCGGCCAGTAATTTTTACTTGCCTGTTTGTTTCGGATCACTTTACATAATTTCCAAAACAAATATATGACATGGGTATGAAATAATTTATGGTTTTAGCTGATAAGGTGTATTATTTATTTTTTTGACTTGACTTAATAGTACTTACATGTAGCATCTGCTTAATCCTATTTTTAAGAGAAATTCTACAAGCTCATGTGATTCTTACCATAGACATAATTTTATTTTGATATTTTTATATTTAAGAAGATGATAAATTATCCAAAAAACAGAAGAAAGGTATAAAAGATGAAGAAGATGATCATTTTAAAAAAATGAGTCAGCTATATCATAAAGATGATTCTAATCAAGCTGGTGGTCTTAATTTGAATTCTACTTCAGTTATATTATTTGATGAGGTACATTAACAAATTTATTTGATCCAGAATAAAGCTGCAAGATTTATAACTAGATACATAAACTTTGGTCCTCATGGATTTTATTTTGCTTAACACTCAGTACTTTTATTTTAGTTGCCGTGCGCGAGACTATTCAGACATAATACAATACTCTAATAGACAGGAAGCTATTGCTTTGATGTCATATCATTACCGCATGAACCATTCTGACATCTATTAGAGGTATCAATCAATTTCAGGTATTATATCGTCAACATTTAATAACTGATAATCTTCACTTTATGATTTATACAGCAAATAATTTTAGTTCATAATAGATGGTGTGTATTTGCGACAGCGGAGGAAGTATGACCCAAGAAATTACAAGAATATACATGTTGCAATTAGTAAGGTGTATGCATGTATTTGTATCCTTACTAAATAAAATCTCAAATGCGCATTTACAGTTAAAGCATCCATTACACTTATTAATAATTGTAATGTATCTAATTATAGGCTGATCTTGTTTTTGAAAAAGATGTAGGATTTCTGTCTGCAGTACAATATTTTATGAATACAACTAAAATACCTATCATACTGACTACAACCAATAAAAACCTAGCTACATTAATACAGGCTAGATTAGAAGTTGTTCAATTTGAGCCACCTTCATTGGTAAGTTTAATTTTCATTTAATAACAAAAAATACCCCCAGAAAATTATCAGCTCTATAATCAATTGTACTTGAAAACGATAAGAGAATACTTGTCGAAACGTCGTGCTATATATGTATAAACCATTGGTTGTTTTCCATATAAATTTTATTGTGTTGTTTAGCTATATAATCGTCAGTTACTTTTAAAGATTTTTTTGTCTTTCCATCTGTCTGTCACACATTTTGGAATATGATCGGTAATAACTTATAATTGAGGTAGAATGTTCAAACTTGGTGTAAATCTTCGTCAAGTCTAGAGAGCCACGGTGGCTCAGTGAGTAAGTCATTGGCAAAAACCCTTATCAGTGGTGCAGGATGGCACAACAAAAACTAGGTACCATATAAACATTGCTGTGCACGTAAACCCTTGACAGATGGAATTCAAAATAAGAATAGGCTGTAGTGCCGCTGTTTGGGCAAAATTTCCCTCAAATCACACTGTATGGTGTATGCCTGTCTTCATTAGCCAAGTCGAACCAGAACATTAGGATATTAAACACCATTTCATCAGGTTTATTTCTTTACTGAGTTTGATGAGTATTGTCTGCTTAGATCAAGCAGAGTGATATACAATTTGGTTGCTAGAGATAAGGTTTACTTTATGAAAAGATGAATTTGCAATTGCAGGTAACTAATGCATGTCATCTTTTTATTTTAAGACAACAGCCTCATTTGTTTAAATAAAAACTCGTTAACAGTGTAATTAACTCAAAGAAACTCCACAATGAAATATTTCATATTTATTTTGTTCACTTTGCAGAGTCTAGTGGTCAGTCATTTGCAAACTATATGTTTAGTAGAGGGTATTAGAACAGATTATCAAGATCTACACAATCTGGTTACATATTATAATAATGACGTTAGAAGATGTATGTTAGCTTTACAATTTTGGGTGGAGAGTGGAGGTGGGATTAAACAACATCAAACTATCAAAACTACTTTATCAACCAACAACAAATTCCCCTCAAGTAATTCAGATACAGTTGTGGGATGTGATGAATCAGATAATGAAGATTTTGTCAGTATTTATCAACATAAGAAGCGAGCAGGATGTAGACAAATAGTAGACGATGAAAGTAATGATAGCAGTCAAGATAATTTACCAGTTATTCATAATCTCTGTATAGAATCAGTGCTAGGGTTATCTGATAAACTACAATCTAATATAGAAGATCACATTTCTACATTCCTTCAGGTGTGTAAAAAATATCTTTCATTAATTGGAAGTCTGTTGTCAAATACTTTTTAGTAACAAACCAAAAGAATTTTTGTAAAAATACAAGCAATAATCGCTAACAAAGATGATCAGGAATTATTTAATTGAAAAGAATGTCAAAGCATCGATCCCTTCTGTTCATAAAAATTTTAAGTTAATGAAAAATGAAATAATAGACTAGAGACTATTTCATTGACACAAATACACCAAATGTGTTTTGATTTTGTAGACTGCATGTTACACAAATAAAAATTAGTGAAATATATTTTTACTTATTGTTAAGCAGTGGACACATTAGCCAAATTTTATTCGGCCGAATGGGTGGACACACTAGCCGAATGCTTTGCCCGATTCACCATTCAATTTCACGTCACATGATTAAACATAGCGGCGTCTATGTCTTCAAACAATCACGTGACTTCTCGATATGAGTGGATGATGAGTGGTGCTTCGAACACACCAGGCGAATATAATTCGGCCGATTTTATCAACATGTTTGATTCTGTCGAATGACAGTGGACACACTTAGCGAATTTCGACTCGGATTGATTCAGCCGAGTCATTCAGTTAGTGTCCACCGCTTTACTGAATAGTAAGATTTTCTCCTTTATGCAGAATTAAGGTCGTAATTATGACCAAAAAACTGAGAGTTTTTTGATTGTTTTCCCTTCTTTCAAAATATAAATGCATTATGCATGTACATCTAGATGACCTGGCGCCTGGTACGTTCGGGCATTTTTATGCGCGAACTCTTAGTTTTTTTTTTACTGGCACGCGCACAGGTACTATTTCTTTTTCTTTTAACAAGTACCCAAATCGGGGATTTCGTGCGGAGGTAGTTCGGAGGTAAACAGTCTGTGAAGTACAACATTTGCCACTGTACCTGTGTATCGCTAATTATAAACCGAATGTGTGAAGACAGTTCATACATATCACTCAAAAATTTTTCAGTACAAACTCAGTTGATTCACGCTCGATTTGCTACTAAACAAACCCATCGGTTTATTTTCTCAACAGTGTGACCCGAAGTGACCGCGAATTTATTGACCTTGTATGAACTTATCCATAGCTATATCCTTACACCGAGAGAAATTATGTAGTCTCGGTGAAAAGAACCATGGTCATCTGGTAGAAAATTACTTTTGTATTTTTTGGAACGGAAAACAGTGTTTTTAGAAGCAAACTAACCTGCCGCACATGAGGAAGTCATTATACTAATAATAAAAGGCGAGACCTCTTTTTGCGGCGCAGGCTTATCACTGAGTAGTAAACCGTCCACAAACAATAATATAGGAAGCCTAGTGACAGTGTAGTAAGTGGGCTATAGACTATAGGTTTGAGTCGAGATTACTGGCTTTCAGTTTACTCAGTTTTTGCGATAACCAATTATGTGAGAAATACCATACTGACATTCGGTTTTTAAAAGTTGTACGCGAACTAAATGCGTTTGTTAGATACTGACAGAGCATCCCCGAGTCGAACAATCGCCGCCCGAGCTGTCTTCGTCAGCTAGTTTCACAATATCGTGCAATAGGTGTATTAATGTGATTTTTAGGTTTAACCCCACAAACAATGCCAAAATAGTGTTTTCACTGCTTACGTTCCCAAACGTCAACAACACATCTCATACATCCAGTTCGCTGATTAACCCTTGTACCACGTCTACTGGATCCATTGTTTTGTGACATCTGCATGTGACTTCATCATTGATTTACCAATATTGGTATTAACATAATGTCAGTCCACTTCAGAACGTTTTGTTACATTTATTATCCCGCACCAAACAAAGTTAGAAAGGGATATTGAAATAGGCTCCATCAAACTTTCCATCCTAATATCTCATGAACCGTTCAAGATATCTTCTTGAAATTTGGTACACATATATCAACCTTACCTATAGTAGTTGCACCTTTTGGAGAATCAGAAATCTTTTGAATTTAATTTCTTTGTGTTTTCATGGAAACAAATTTATTCTCAGTTGAATAACTTTAGTTGCTTAGTTATAGGTACACAATTTATATTCTGGAGCATAGCATATCTCATGCATATCTCAACTCATTCATACATCTGTTTTCAATCTCTTGATACTTTGATATTAGTGGTGGTAATTTGTAAAAAAAAAGTGAATTTATGTCCTCTATAACCAGGTAGCGTAATTGAGATGTCTGATTCTATTTGCTATATATCTAACTTAGCGGATAGCGGAACGCTTCATATTGATAGGCTACATTCTGTCGTGAAACCAGTGCTTCACACCAAATTTGAAAAACATCCATATTAAAAATTTATTGTAGACTCTTTATCATGTTAACAAGCTTTTTGAAAAAGGGGGAGTGACCACGGAACAGAACGTCACAGATAGTGTCTTGCCTCTCATAACCCCAATGCTTACACCAATTTGGGAAAAAATCAGTTAAGAACTGTAGCTTCTATTGATTTACAATGTTTCAGCAAAGGGGACATAACTCTGGAATAGAATGATGCAGAATGCTGCATATCAATAGAAAAAAGTCATTAGAAATTATAGTCTCTAACACATTCACAAGGTTTGCTTAAGGAGTCATAACTCTGGAACGGAAAGTTGTGGAATGCAGAATATTAATAGTGTTCGTCCTCTCATGACCTCAACGCTTCACTCTAAATTTGAAAAATATCTGTTAAAAACTGTAGCCTCTATCGGCTCTATCACTTTCATGTTTCTTTGGCAGTTTAACATCAGTCAAATGGTTTGTTGAAGATGTTAACAAAGATGTTGCCCAGTGTGGCAACTTTTATTGTCTCAACAAATTGTATTCTAAATTCAAGAAACCCTTTATCGAGTAGTCCAGTTTTGCTCAAATTGCAGGCCTTCCTGAAATAATTTCAATTAGACATGTATTACTCTATTAAAGTAATAGAGTGATACAATGTGTCATAGTGTGCAACAAACAATATATTTTTGTTGCACACTATGACAAATGTATTATTTTTTGTTTTACAAAATTCTACCTGCACTGTTTATATATTTAAAGATACATTTTGTAAGATTTAGATAAAGAGCTGGCTGTTATTGTAATAGTTCAAAAATAGATAATGCAAAATGAATATATTGAAAATTTCATTCTTAGTGTGCTTTATTCTGAGCGAAGTTATCAATGTTAGTAGTTTTGACAAGATGTGTGCATTGATTGTTTATTATTGTAACCACCGTACTGGTTTTTCGACATTAGCCTCATTTCTCCATTTTTAAATTAAATGGCCAAACTGTTCTAATCTACTTAAAATCAGAGCCATTTGTCAAATTAATAAATATCTAATTAATAGTTTATATAACATTTAAGGGCACTTGAATAATGGGCAGGTCAGTGGAATCCATGCCTACATGTAGCTTGAGATTAAATTGTAATTGAACTCATTTGGGACAGAATACTAACCCATGCTGCCTTTACTTTCATTTTGTAAAATGCCATATACTGTCTTTGTCTTCATTTTCTTAGTCTGCATAATATTCTTCTCACAATGTCTTGCATGATTTGTTTTAGCAATAATTAACCCCACTAAACTAGGTTCAGTAACAAGACTACTGTCAACATCCTTCACTGTTGAAGAAGTCTTTTGAAATGAGCAGACGGCTTTACAGCTTGTCTCTGATTGGTCAGTTTATCACAGGACTAGAGTGAATACTTGTTACAATTGTGATTGGCTGAAACTTATCTGAAAAGTTTTCAGGTATTATAGTTCAAATCAAGTCTATATTTAGGTAATATAATGCCAGTCTTCAGATATTGTCCCCTGCCTTTCAAAGAAAGCAGGGAACTATTAAAATGGGTCTGTCTGTCCGTATGAGCTAGAATGTTCAAACTTAGTGTAGGTGTTTATTAGGTGAAATCCTTGATGGAGTTAGAAGATAAGCATTTTATGCTTAGTCTAAGCAGAGATAAGCAATTTGATTGGTTGATGCTTTTGGACATGATATCTTTCGTTCTAATTAAGTGAAAGTGTATAGTTTCATTATATCAATTCCTTGACAAAGTTCGATAATGGTAAATGAGCATTTTCTGGTCAGGGAAAGCAGAGCATTAGGCAATTTGTTAGGTTGAGACTTTGGAACTTGATAGCCTTTAATTAAGTGAAAATGATGAAACTTTGTGTACAGTTTCATTACATCAATACCTCGCAGTATTTTCTGCTAGGCTAAGTAGAAAGTTCCATCTGATTGGTCGAGACTTTGGAACACAATAACTTTCCTTCTAATTGAGGTAGAATGTTCAAACTTGGTGTAAGTTTCATAAGGTGAATACCTTGAATGTGTTCCCACTAAGGCTAAGCGGAGATAAGCAATTTGATTGGTTGAGACTTTGAAATATTATAACTTTGGTTCTAATTGGGCGAGAGTGATAGTGCTCAGAGCATAGATTCATTATATCACTTACCCTCACATTGTAGACAGAAATAGAAGCTTAATTGTTTTGAAAGAGAATTCCCCAAATACATTTTAGTTAATAATTTTACTAATTAATTTCATTTTTTTCTTTGTTTTTTTTTTCAGGGAAGTTTTAATAGTGACAGCTTCGTATCTACTATGTATTGCTGTGATGTGTTAGGATCATTACGGTTTAATTTATTGATCAATAATATAATTCACTTATTACCTTTACCAAAATCTTGTTTAATTAAACATAAAACAGTTGTTAATAAACCTGTTTCAAAGAGGAAGAGAATATTAGATACTGAAGATTACGATAGTGAAATATTTGATAGTGAAATCACTGAGATACGACATGTACAATGTCATGACAACGCCCAAGAGACAGACAATTGTGAATTGGAGTCGAAAAAAGAAAAACGTTATATTTCGAAGTGTTTGAGATCATTCTCGTCATATTATGAAAACATATCTTTTATGGATACCATAGAAACAGTGCTGTCAATCAAAGATTTAGACAATAAAACATGTAGTATTCCTGGAAATTCTCAGGAAGCCAGTTTATCTGATTTGACAACAGTATATGAACATCCTCATCAGTGGTTAAGACAACAACACTGTGAATTATTAAATGATTTAGAAACTAGATGTAGTAAACAGTTATGTGAAGAAATTCAAGATGTATATCTTTCTGTTCAGAAGAAAGTACATGAAGACAATTTCTTAAATAAATTGTCATTACCTGTGCCAAAAGGTGTCACAAGCTTCAGTATTCAAGACAAAATAAGGTATGTTAATGGAATATTTTTTTATGAGGCTTAATTACATACATGTATGATAGATTTCACCCTTTTATGCTTGATGTTAAAAATGTTTTGTCATCTACTCTAGATTACTACAGCAAATAATGATAATCACTATGGTATATTCAAACACTTTAGAGCAAAACAGTTCAAAAATATTCTCATCTATCACTCCTAGTTTAATTAGTGTCCCCACTATCTATTCAAGATGCATCATGTAAGATTTAGATACAATAGATAATGGAAAAGGAATATTGAAAATTTCAGTTTTAACACTAAATTATTAAATGACCATCTGATGGTCTAGAGAGTTTATTAAGGGCTTGTTTTGTGAATTTAATGGCAGATTAGTAATTTATATAACATTTTAATTTAAGCAAAAAAAAATGACCTGCAATAGGCAGATTAGGCTCTTGCATAATGAATCTTCATTAATGATACATGTATATATTTCATTCAATATGGAAGGTATAAATATTCTAAAAATTCTCAAAGTACTTAGTGTCAACCTACTTTGTATCTGTCCTCAAGCAGAGCTAATTGTAGACAGAGAGCATAAGTTTCATATGGTTAGAAAAAACTTGTAAACGTTCTAAAGGTCAAAGTTTTGTGAAACCAATTTATTGCTCCTGTCACCACAGTTTGAAACATTTAGGTTAGATTCATCATAATTTGTTGGGGTTTTTTTTATCAAACTTACGGAAAATGTCCGGCTAGCAGTAAAGAGCAATCATTGCACAATATAGAGCCCCCCATCAATTCTATACCTCATTATTGCCTCTGACCCCAAAATTGAACATCTAACATTTAAGATATAGCTGGTGTGAGCTTATATTTTATTGCCTTGAGATGCTATGTCAGTTATATAGATTGGTACATGTAAATAGATTCTAAGACAGAAGCATTTCTTATTTTAGCAAATCTAGCCTCAAGAGTCAAGATGCTCAAGATAACATATGGGCAAATTTACCTCTCTCAACAAGTAGACGACATGTTCATCTAGATTATGTACCATATGTTAGATCTATGCACCAAACCGAATGTACAAAACAGATTGAAAAAGCAAAAAGGAGGTAAGTAAAATATGGAGTATTACTTCCGGTTAATCAGGGCGGTGAAAGGGGGTCTTTTGGCAATAATCTGTAATCTGTTTATATATTTCAAAAAGACTTGCAGCAGAAGTGTAATTCTTTCTCTTTAAAAAAATAATTCTGAAAATAGCTACATCTACAATACTACGTCTTATTCCTTCTGCAAATATTCCTTTTGAATAAAACTTTAAAACTATAGTTAATAATTTTCCTGGATATTGTTGAGATATCACTATCTGCAGAGAATGAGTCCTTTCTTTATTGTAAACTATATCAAAGTGGACATATTTGTAGAATTACCACTAATTTAGTAATTATTGTCTGAAGTCAGCTTTTAAAAGAAAGAAGAGGACTATTAAAATGTGTTCATCTATTTGGTACAATTTTGGGGGCACAATAACTCTGATTCTAATTAAGTTAGAATCTTCAAACTTGGTGTAGATATACATTAGGTGAATGTTTTGACAGTTCTATGGTGAGCAGTTTCTTCTTAGGCTAAGCAGAGACAAGCAATTTGTTTGATCAAACTGTTTGGTCTCAATAACTATTAGAACACAATTAGGAATAACTAATGCTCATATCAGATGATAAATGTTTAGACTAAGTTTGATGATGCTTTATCCACATCAATACCTTGACTAAATTTGATAATGAGCATTGACTGATCAAGTTAAGCAGAGTGATGCCGAATGGTTAGCTATGCATGGTTTCGATTCCCCGGTTGTACGTGATGAGTTGGGTTGCCTGTCCAACCTCGTGGGTTTTCTCCAGGTCCTCCGTTTTCCTCCCACTGCTAAAGACTTCTACGCGCAAGCAAATTATTAAAATAAAATTGAACCATATGTTAGTCCCGAAATGTCCTAGTTTTTGTCGAGTGGCCATTAAACCCCATTTCTCTTTCTCTTGCTTTATGAGAGATCAATTATAAATGAGAAATTAATGAGTGTCATCTATTTATTTTGGGATTAAGGCAGGGGACATCAGTCTCACAGCTGGTTTGTTCCTATTCATTGTAAAACAAGCCATTGACTTTCATAAAATTATATTATTAAAACATAAAACCTTTCTATAACATTATTTAGTAAATGCCACTGTAACAAAATATTTAGAATATTTATTTTTTCGTCAGATTTCATCATCATTTTGACAATATTGGATTTGGTTTGAAGAAGACAACGTTAGCATACCTTCAACAACCTCTAGAATAAAAACTTCAATATTTCAATGTACAAGATTAGATGAAAGAATATCTTATGTAAAGTGCAATATTGAATGTTAATATTTGTGTTTGTAAAGTTATTTTATTGAGTTATCATTGGTCGATTTCTTTATTAATTTGTTGGATTAGATACATGAATAATGCATGTTAACTAAATATCAGAATGGTGGTAAGGGAAGGTATATTGAAATAGGCTCCATAATTCCTTCTCTACCTCCCACCCATCCACCTCCAATTTGCTTACTGATCTTATATTAGGAATTGTTGCAAGTCATGATTATGCAATTTGTAACTGCATCAACCAACCATTTGCTAATCAGACAATTCCCAAATAATTTTATGTCTATATAATTATAATTGCAGATCATATCTCTGGATGGTATGAAAATTTGTAAACAAATTTACATTCATCCCTACAGTAGAAAAATTTTGTTTCAAAAGAATATCTTTGTTAACTGAGAACTTCATTAATGTGTTTAGAATTGAACACATACATATGCAACACACACACAGCTTAATAATATTATGTGAGGGATGTTGCTGTCAAAATCCTCTTGTTGGAATTTGTTTAAGTCTAATCTTTAACATGTTCTTAACGTGATTATTACAATGTGAGGTTGAAAGGACATTTTCTTATGCAAATATTACATAATCAATTTTAATTTTTCATAAGAGTTTCATTACGTTTTATGTTGGTATATATTTTTAATGGTTCTATGTAATTGGGTTGGTAGAAATTCTTGTCTTGACTATGAGATAGAAATAGGATATTTTATTGATATCTGTAATTTGTATTTTTAATCTGTTGTTACTAGATTAAAGGTTGTAATAAAGATATCTTATGTCTTATTAAAATATCCATAAAGACACAGCTATTTATTTAATGATTATGATAATTAGATTTATTTATAAAGGATGAAATATTGAGTTTCAGTTATGCAATTTAATTTTTTTTATTGTAAATATTTGTAAAATTATTATTTTTAAATGTAAATATTAACACTACAAATAAACTCATTTTCTAAGTATCCTGTGTTAATATAAAATAGATTCAACTTGTAAGAAAATATAAAATAGATTCAACTAGTGAAAAAAAACCAAGGTAAACTTTGAAAAGAACAAAATATTTAATCATTTGTTTTGGTGTGCATGTCATTGCAGCTGGACCCTATTGACCTTAAGATAAATGGACAAGTCTGAATAAAAAGTCAAATTAATATTATTACCCAACTGCCACTGTACTGCACATATACATGTGACATTGTGAAATTGAAATAATTACTGATTAAATAAATGCTGCATATGTTCACCATTGATAGTTACTCCACAGTACTGCTGACAGAAATAAACAAGTCACTAAAGACATATCCACGGGTGATCAATGATTGGGGGATCAGATCCACAATTCTATTCCTTGAACATACATTATGCAAGAGCTAAATCTGCCTATTGCAGTTCTTTCTTTAGGTCTGAAATGTTATCTAGACTATTAATTAGACATTTATTAACATGAAAAGACCATAATCAACTCTCGTGGTCATCTTATGTGTCCGATTTTCATTGGATTTGATTCTGATCTGCTGGATAATCAAGACTTTGTTAATTATTGTGACAATGACAATCGAGACTACAGTGATTTTAAAACAAGGTTTACTTACAGTGAAGCAATGTGACTGAAATTTTCAGCATATTCCCTTTACATAATCTAGTTTTAAACTATTATAGTGAGAACTGCCAGTGCTTCATCTAATCTTCCGTAATATATCTTTAAGTTTGGAATGGATTTGGAACAACATTCAAATTTTACTACTGCCAGATTCCAGTTGTACCCAAATACATTTATGGAGGTTAATAGTAAGTGCAGGAGGAATGCACCACACACTAACAATTGCACAAGACAAACCCACCAATATGACATAATATACACAGACATTTCTAAGCAGGAAGGGAAGAAAATATCAAAGTTTGCCAGGTCCTATTCAAGCAACTTTTTTGATATACTACTTGGCTGGTGCCCGGCCGGTTGTGATCAACAGATTCAAGAAGTAATTTTCGACATTTTCAATTTTCCCAAACCATGTGATGGATTTGAACCCAATAAATTCAGTGTTGCATGGGTGTTGCTAATTCAGATTTATGAAATGAAGGGTTTCGTTGGGGCAGGGCACATTAAAGGGGAAAATTTGTTAGATATGGTGGTGTGTACCAATATGTTCATATGAAGTAGATTTTTACCATATTTTCATACTTTTTTTTACCTAAACTGCTGTAATGATTTCAATCGGATTTGATAGGTATAAGTTGCTTATTCAGATTTCTTGCTCGGTCCCACAGACGCAGATTTGACATTTTAAATTTCATCTTTCTTTGAAAAGACCTGATCAATTCCAACCAGATTTGGTTATGGTTGCCTTTAAGGTGAAAAATTAGTGATTGTCTTGTCAGTACTTGTAGGAATGTTGGGTTCTGGCACCTTTGAGTTGTGCAGAAGTTTTACATTTACCAAAAGTAACAGGGTGTTGAATGGCCGAATGGTTAGTGTGTGCGGGTTTGTTGTATCATAAGGTCTTGTCATTGAGTCAACTGGTTTGGATCCCCGGTTGTACGTGACAAGGGGTAAGGGTCGCCTGTCCAACCTTGTGGGTTTTCTCCGGGTCCCTCCAACTGCTCAAGACCCTTGCACACACGCAAATTATTGAAATAAAATTGAACCATATGTTCGGTCCGAAATGACCTAGTTTGTGTCAAGTGGACATTAAACGCCATTTCTCTCACTCTCCAAAAGGAACAATCCCACCATATACCCCTAGCTTGTTAGGTCCCTTTTTATCCATTCACAAGCAGAAATATTAATCCGTCACATTATGCCTTCAAAATCTTGAACAATCAAAATCTACAGATGTTCAGAGGCTGGCCAGACCTGGCCCAAATCACTAACTGGAAACTGTCACTGGAAAATGTCACTTGTGTGTGTCTCTACAGAAAAGAAATTTCAGTTTTGATTTTTTTTATTATTCATGATAGCATCAATATATAACATTTTATTGCAGAAGTGAAAATTACAAACAGATCAACATATAACCAATCTGAATTTAGCCACTGACAACAGTAAAATAGAATTTATCTTTTTTTTATCCTTTCACACATTTTTTTAAGAGTCTGAAGAGTAATTTATCAACAATGTCCAAACCAAATAGAAAATAAATATATTTGACAGTAAAGAAATAAGTAAGGGAAAAACATCTATTAACAGAAAGAAACATGAAATTAATTCTCTTTTTTTAACATAATTACAATATAACACACACATATTTTACATATTTACAATGATTAACAACCTTCTCTAAGAGAATAAAATTCAATTCTACTTTTATAATATACATGTATCACCGTACATTTATATCTACATATTAAATAATGGCAAGGACATTAGGTTCTCCAATAAAATGATGTAAGAAACAAAGTCCAATGATGACTCCAGTTAATTCATTATCAGATAACGGATGCAAAGAAACAATTATAAGATTTGAATTGGTTTTACTACATTTTATAATACAACTGATGTTATTATAGCTATCATATACATCGCATGTTATAAATGATCTTAATGTTATTTACATGTCGTTTCTGATGATGTTCATATAACAAATGTTTTTAGTTTTGCACCAATGTTGAAATATTTTAGCTGAGAATATTTCGAATTTCTTTGTGTATATGACAGAGAAAGTCAACATAAGAGGCACTTCCATTTAATCCTTTATCTTCCACCAAGAAATGATTAAACCAGGCTTCAAGTTTATCTCTTTGCCTCACTATAGTTAACTGGAAAGAAAAAAGAACAGAATTGAATTTTCTGGATTTTAATTTGACTTCAAGTAGAAATTTTTTTAAAAATAATGAATGATCATCAAATGTTATAATAAATATAGGTAGGAACTGAACTTAAGGGGTTAAGGTTTCTTTAACAGCCTGTATCCCAGGAAAACTGTTTGCTTTTTAATGTGTCACATATCAAAATAGATGTATTCTCTTAATTACAGTTTTGGTTGAAGAATAAAATCCAATAATACAGCTACCGGTACTTAAACCCTAAAAAGATGCAATCTTGATGCCATATTTACACGTTCTTTATTTCAAATTCTAAAATGCTACAGCACTAGGCAGTTTGCTTTCTTCTGAATAGAAAAATGATTGTTGTAACTTCTTACTTTTAAATATCTGTGTCTATCCATTCTGATCTCTTTTATAATTTCTGCTAGCCTCTGTGATACTGGATTATCCATGGTTACCAACTGACACTGGAAAATACAATGAATATAATTTCATAATCAATTACAAAGATGGGTACTTTTGCACTGTATGCAAACTTAGACAATGAATAAGTACCATGCACGAGTGGGTACCTTACTCTTCCTGTTATTTCACATCATTTTTGTACAACTATTGGTTATTTTAATGTATCTTAAGATTTAATAAGGAAAATAATTGCCATAATTGATTCTCTTATTACAGAAAAAAATATTTGTAATATTCTTAGCATCTTTACCTTGTCTATGTCAATCTGTGCAGCACTATTTACACCAAATACACTTTGTACCCATTTTGGTTGCACATTGTGACCAATCCACAAAAACATAGATAATCCATTTTCTGTAATAAAATCAACATTATTTCTGTGATCATGTACCCTTACTTTTAAAAGTTTAATTCTACAAAATATCACTTTTAGTTGAATTGATCAATTTAAATGAGTCGATCAATATTGCTAAGAAGTAAAGCTTTCAAGTTTTCATATCAATACAAAATTATGAAAGTGGAAAACACCTTGTAGTAAATGTGTATAATAAATTGATTACTACATACCAAGTAAATATACCCCATCATCTTGTAATCTATCTGTTGAACATCTTATAGCAGATGGTAATTCTTTAGTCTCTGTATCTACATTATGCTGTTAAATATAATACACACACAATTAGTTTTAAAGATCATGTTGACTTCTAATACACAGTCTTATAACCATTCAAATACTTACTTAAAAAGTTGTTTCATTATTTAGACACGATTATTAAAATAAAATAAGGTTTGAACGTAAATAACTGAAAGAATTTTTACTTACAAGTGGTAACAATCTAGGATAGAAGAAAACACTAGAAGATTCAACACTCATACTATTTATAAGATGAGTTAGATAACTTCTATCATCTGTTGATATTTCTGAACCTGTAAATAAATAAGATATACATATAAAGTCTATTTTATATACACATACTGGCATTAAGAGAAAACAAAATATCTGACTACAGGTAAAATATTTTCTTATAGAATGATAAAATAATTCTTTAAAAAAACAAAAATGATCTCACCTCCTTGTATTCCATCATTTTTAATAATACAATTAGAATACAATGGTAATAACTTCATACACTCAGGTAATATTAATTGACCAGCAGACGAAGGATTGGCACAATTCTTTCTATAACATGCTAATATCTGGGACACTTCATTCATAATATATTCACGAACTTGTTTTGGATTAGTATTTAACATATTTCGGATAGCTGTAATAAACCCAAAAGAAACGATTATAATAGATAGTACAGTTATAACTACCCAACAAAAAGAAATAACAACACAATTCAAAATGTCAAAGCTTTTTGTCTCGACGTAAAAAATAAATAAATTGTCAATATTAACCGGAATGTCAATTTACTTATCTTCCATAAAATAACATGTTGCATATATCTAAATACTAAATCTAATCTTCTAAGAATAACAAGACAACACACATTAATGTAAATTATGTACATATCCATTTGTAATGTGCTAGAACCCAGAAAGCGTGCTCCAGGTGCTTGATTCATCATGACACCACAGTTTAACCAGATTTGAATTGACTCAAAATGGGAAAGGATCACGGTTCATCTGATAGAGAATTCCATTTTTCAGATACAGCTGTCATAAGGATATAGCAGCGAAAGATTTCAATTTCCAATTGTGCTTTTCAGGATGATTATAAAAGAGACCCTAACCCATTTTCTCAAGTATTATAAATTAAGTGATATGTTTGATAAAACAAAGAGTTATGCTGGATTTCAACTGATGTTAAACTATATTATAGTTACCTTGTTTTGAAAAATAATTAACCAAGGTATCCAATTCACAGCTACGGAAAAGATCAGCCATTTGTGAACAACAATTAAATGATAAATTATGAAGTCTTAAACGTCTTTTACCACTGACACTGGTAAATAAAATAGCAACCTGAAAAAATTAAACACAATATTATTTTTCATAACCATAAGATAGCTACAATTTCTATGGATATATAAAGGGATAGAGAATAAAATACTTCCAGGTTACACTAAAGATAAATGCAATATTTTTTTAACATTCATGTGACAAGGTAAATGAAAACAATGTAATTCAAGAATAATGAATGTTATGCTATTTCTTTATTTCAATTAATTATAAGCTGGGATCTTAGTGGAAGGAATCAGGAGAAAAAACAAAAATCACATATTATTGAGAGACAGTGGTGAAAGATTAAACACTTCCAGTCCATAAATAATACTAGCTAACTAATGATAATATAATAATTTGATCAGTTTTTGTAAAAAGACTGGAATGAAATCTGAACTACAGTAAATTTTATCAGAATGATTGACCTCTTGCACATATCTTTAATGGCATAACCTATAACCTCTGTCAAAAATCATTCAGGTTTACCCACAACAATCAATAACCTACCTGTACATAAGCTCCATCAGCTTCTGATAGTTTGTCGTCATGTTTGATTTCAACGTTGATTGCTTGATCACAGTCTAAAGCAGCTATTTCTACATCAGTTGTATTAGCCATATAAAAATTACCATAGAAATCCACAGGTCGAATACCTTAAAAAAAACAAACAATCAGTAATCATATAAAATAATTTTCTGCCAAAACCAGTTTTGTACAAGTTATTACTTTAAACTCTTCACATGAAATCTGTTATCAGGAATGACAGAAGTGTCACCAAAATTGATTCCATGTCCATGCCACTTTGGGTGAAGGTATCAAATAAATGCTTAATAATTTAAAATCTCAATATAAATCAATACTAATTATTAAGATGTGTATTTTGTTACCTGTGCTTGTTCTAACTCTTAATATAACATCAAAAGCTTTAGAATGCTGAACTTGGCGTGAAAGATCTTCTAAAAATCTATCTCCATCGATATCAGCCTTTGGTAAAATAAAACATTAACACACATGTTTAATAGCATAAATAGTAAATGTTACAAAGTTATTCTTTCTAAGTTAATAGTAATAGAACATAAATCTACTCTGTAGGTGGTATTTCGAGAAATAGCAAGACTAAAAGGGATAATAAATAAGTAAATCAAGAATAAATAAAAAAAAAAGTAATGGCCTGAAAAGTTAAAACATTTCAATTTTTCTGAAAGGGAGATAACTGGTGTCAAATTACCAATGATCCATATTATCTCCCCTTAGACCACATAAACATAAAAAAAAAATCTGTCAAGAACTCAAGACCTACAGAGTGATCACAAGGAATTTTGGACAGACAACTTTCAATCACTGTTTATGAGAAATATCTTTAATCCAGAAACACAAAAATTTGCATGTAGTTTCTTATTGATGTATTTGATACATTAAAACAACAAAAGTTTTATCAATGGCTATATTTTAGTTAAAATAAGGCAAACAATTTTGAGTAAATTCTTAAGAATGTTTTGTGAAACTGGGACCAGGCAAAGGTGATAACAACATACATCTACATTAAAAGTGGGCGTATCATAGGATAATAATATGTGGATCATTGTAGTCTCTATTGTTTAGGACTTACAAAGATCAATACAAGTTCTAATGACATTTGATCTTCGCTTTAAGTTTCTTTAACGAACTTAGACACTATTGCAAGTAATTGTGATAATATTTAAGCAGCAAAAAACATGAAAATGTATATGTCTACATCTTTTATAGAATTTTATCAACTTTACATTGTTGTTGCCTTTATAAACTCTACTCATTTTTTGCACCTCATACCTACAAGATGTGGGATAGCATACTCTTTCTAGAACTGATATCCTTTCTTGTAAACATCAGTTTATGTTCTACATCTGTTTCTAACAGCTCACAGTATATGTTCTTTAAATGGCATTTAGTAACTGGATAGAGTAACAACAAAACACATACTTATGGAAAACAGCTACTAGTGTATTTAAGGCGACGTTTCGTAGAGTATTCTCTCAACGTTATCAAGCTAATACAGTAAAACAGGTATGATATTCTTATAATCCTTTAGTGGCATTTACCTGGAAGTAACTATATTTGTACATATTGCCACCAGTAATACGACATATTTCTCCTAAAGTAGCTATATCAACATATGAATTGGGAAACAGGAACATCTCAACACAACAACCAGCAGCAACACACTCCTCACCAAGTTTTGTGTAAAAATTATTTTGAGGGGACAATAATGTCTGAAAAAGAAAGGGGGATATTAGAATTTTTTAAATATTTATCTTGTAAATTCTCTTGTTTTTTTTGTTTTTAAAAGCCTTTTACATACTGATTAACGGAGATGCACAAATGACAAAGTTGAGAAAAAAAAAACTAACATAGTAAGCTTATCTCGGACAGTTATTCCTTTAGGGAAATTACATAATTACATAATACAGATATTAAACAAACAAATTTACCACTGTATCTTTAAAAAAATACCTTCGGAAATTACTTACCTTTTCTTTATCTGTACCAAGTAATTTTCTATCATCTCTATTTTTAAGCTTTCCGGGAGCTTCAGCAATAGGTAATGATGTATGAAATATAAACAGTTTACCCGATCTTTCAGCTGATTTCAAAGCATCTAAACCAGCTTGTATAACAGGACCTAATACCAACTCAGTTTCTCGTGATTCAGCAAACATTTGTGGTATTTGAGCCAATAAACTGTAATGGTGAAATAATTACCAATCAATAAATAACAAAACTCTTTATCTCTTAAGAGTATGCAATGTGACTTTTCTCTGTACAAAGTTATTCTTCCATGAGGGGATCTCAACTGTCTTGTATGTCATAATGATTTAGAAAAAGGTCTTGCGGTGTTAGTATATTAGAGATATTCAGGAAACAAATAAATCATACCTGTCAATAACTGCTGATGATTCTGATAATTTAACGAGAAAACCATCTAATAATGGTACAAATACATCCTCTAAATCTGATACTACTAACATCTGAGGTTGAGCTAAAGATCCCTGTGAAAGAAATATTGTTAAAAATTTAATACTTCATTCCTGATAAGACAATAATTCAAAGATAGCAAGCTGGTAGAAAGATGTATAGTCCCTAATTTCTTTCAACAGTTAAATAAAGGACTATAATTCTCTGCCATTGTGTTGAAATACTAGTGTGGAACTAAGGTCACTGGGTGCATCCTAAATCAATCAATGATTTGTTTAGTAATAAAATAAGAGTCAGACATCATTAATTAATATCACCACTACAAAGTAATTCTTTGGGCCTAAAAATTGTCATTTCGGGTGTAAACATATGACTAGAACCAAAAAATATTTAAAATCTATTCACATGTATAGATTTGTGAAAATCAGAATAATTTTTGGGGCATTTTACTTACCTTTACATTGTAAAAGTGTAACTCTTTGCCATATGTTGCAAACCCAACTCTGATTTCAGATTCTTCTGCATCTACCTCTCTAAAAGTATAAAGAATAATAATAGTCCATGTAGCTTATAGCATACATATAACACAATCACTCTTGCAAATATTTCTCAAATATGTATGTTTTCAGTCTGGATTTAAAGGAGTTTAATGATGGACAGGATCTAAGGTTTTAAAGTAGCGTGTTCCACAAATTGGCAGAAACACCACCAAATGAGTGAGCCACAAAGGAGCGAAGTTTATATATTGGGACAACAAGTTTCTTAGCACCGGTACTTGATCTTAGATTTTTTGATATGTCATGTAAGGTACTACAAGTTCTCTTAGATAAGATAGCAATAACAGGAAAATACAAGAGAATGAACTGGTGTTGCCATGGCAGAAGGAGTAACTAGATTTCGAATGGAACCAATATTGCAGAGATGGAATACACATTTTGAACCAGCATAGTCAACCGGTTTATTCAGAGACAAAGCTGGATCAAGAATAACTCCCAGAATTTTCACTGAGGATGGAATACAGATACTTGAGTCAGAAATTTTAATGGGGCTGGTGTTGTAATTAGACACTTTAGAGGATGCCTAACTGTGTAGTACACAGAGTAAACAAAATAGGTCTGAGGAGACCCTGTGGTACTCCACATGTTAATTCAGCTTCTGAGGACTGAGATGCGCAGATAACAATGGATTGGTGTCGATCTGTTAAATAAGAAGTGAACCATGAGAGAATTGTACTTTTGACACCAAAGTCAAGGGCGAGACGATTTAAGAGCAGTTTGTGATTAATTTGTGTCAAACACAGTGGAGTGGTCTAACAATAGCAAGGTAGATATATCACCGTTATTAGTTGTCCATTGATTCCAATAATAACTTATAAACAATGACCAAAAGATGGTGTTTCTCACAAATGTTAGTTTAGGTTGACAGAAAATAAACATTTAAAATGTATCACTTACTTCGGTAAATTGACCAAAATATCATTTTTTAATCTTTCACAGATAAGATTAACTAGACCACTCTTGACACTATTATAAGACACATCTATCATAAATATAAACGCAGGTTCTTTTGGCACTACACTGTTCTGAAATAAAAAAAATAATACAGTTTTAGAAACATAGTAATGATGCAATTTGTAAGTTTAAATTGAATATAAACAAATAAAAGTGTACTTCGATTCCAGAGAAAAACATTTTATCTACACAAGTTAATAGAAACAAAATTATTTAAAGCTTATTTTAGTAGTAATATATTATAGCAGTTCTACAGCAATAGCTGATTCTTTATATTTCATTTATAATCTAGTATTAAAATAGTTTTAACCATCCTCAATCCTATGGCGGGGTATCGGGTTCAAAATGCAATCTAGAGTAAAAAGTACATAAATTTATAGGTTTTCACCATAAAAATACCCTTTTAGATAAGAATTTTCCCCTTTACTTTAGATTTTCTACTTTTTACTGTTGACTTTCTGCTTTTTACTCTAGATTGCATTTTGAACCCGATACCCTGCCATACAATCCAGGGTACAGATCATTTCGTTGTGAAGTAACATGCCAGCAGTGACAGTAATCAACTGTAAACAAAGCTACAAGCCTGCGCTATATTAGTCTTTGATCCAACAATTTTTAATTATATTCAGCTGCGACCATGTTCACATTAAATTTCATTTCATTGCAGCCATGTTTATAGAGTACATAGAGTATGGTAGCCATTAAAGCATTTGTCACATCCAGAGTTTTAATTTGATAAATCAAGGCAAAATGATCTGAACTCAGTGTTCAGTAGATGATGAATAAAACATAAAAAATATACAATGACTGGACTTCTTTAATGAATTAAATATTTGTCATTTTTAAGTTTACATATCTAGTGACTTACTTTACAGTAATCTTTGGTAGCTGTCATCTCATATGAACCAAGACACAGTTCTGCTCGATTATAACAATCCACTCTTCGTCCTGTGTGGTCTAAATGGGCAAAATATTCATTTGGTACTGGAAAGAAATAAGATTAAAATTGTTAATATTATACTTTAAGATGGAAAATGGCCTTGAATTCTTCATTTTATCTTCTGTGCCTTTCACACAATAAATATAATAGAGATGAAACATGATAGTGTATCTAGACAAGATAATTGATACTTTATTAAGCTTAATTACATAATATCAACAGTATCAGAGTACATTTTAGCGTGGATTAAGCCATGAAAAATCAGATTTTGTCTGAATAATGCAAATGCCAATCAGCGGCTATAACAAGTGATAATCTACGATCAATAAAGATATGGAAAAACTATACTGACAAGTACAATATTTACAAACTAACAAAAGAAATATGCTATCCAGCCAGACAATAAAATAAAATAGATGAAGATAAACAAGAGACAAGATAAATCATGAGAATGAAAGGAAATGCAAGGAAATGGAGTTTAATGTCCAACTGTACTGCTCCGACTGGGCTAATGAAGATGGGTATTCATACAGTGTGCTATGGGGGAAATTTTGCCCGAACAGCCGCACTACGGAAGAATCTTATACTGAATTCCAACTGAAAAGGGTTCTTTTACTTGCATGCCAATGTGTACACAGGACAGCAATCTGAATGATGCCAGGCCCACTGTCCTGTACCACTGACAAGGGGGAACCACGCCAGAAAATCCCAATGAACTATCTCGGCCAAAACCAGGACTAAAAACAGGATCTCCAGATTAGGTAGTCAACTTCTTACTCACTGAGTCACTGTGGCTCTCAACATCCAAGGAAGAGGCAAGACAACCCAGTTAATAAACATTAAACAATTCATTGAGGAAGATCGTATTTAAACAAAGTAAAGGAAAATAAGATATCAGGCAACGAAACATATTAATTTCATACAGATCAGATCAGAAGTGAAACAAGGGCCATAACTCGAGAAGTTGGTAACATAAATTGCTGAAATTCAATAGGATTCTTCTTTTAACTAATCTAAGTAATTAATACAGATTGGATGACAACTTTAGTCATTAGAGCGTTCTACAAAGTGAAAAAAGAACCAAAACTCTAGTAGTAATTAACAGAAATTGCTGAAATTAAAAAGACTTCTTCGTCACACTAATTTAACATACATAAATTTCAAAAGGATCAGATAAAAAAAGTAGTCTGTAGAGTGTTCACAAGAAATTGTGGACGACAGATGGACGTATGGACAGAGGAGATGGCAATTTACAACCACATTTCCATGTGGGCATATAAAAACAAACTACTAACCATCAGTAGAACAGCCACAAAATACACACTGAAATCGTCGTCCACCATCAATAAATTGCATAAAAGGGTTTATATAGGCCTTACATCTTTTACATCTTACTGGTCCCAACTCTCCAAAATCAACTAATGGAGGTTCAGACTGAAATTATAATATTTCATTGGATTTAAAGCACTTAGTTTATAAGTTGCTGGATTAACTTATAAGGTACACATGGGGTATCAACAAAAATAAGACAGTTTAGCACAAACAAGAGCACGTCAATTCAAGTCATTACACACAATTCTGTAATGTAATCTAAAAGTATGTTGGCATCTATGTCTAGTTTTTATCAAGAATGACTGTAGGAAGCTGAATCTGTCGACCTACATAATATCTCTACTGAGCACCCATTGAGATTTTCTTTTCATTCTAGTATTTGAAAGAACCCTTTTATTTCACAATATGCTGTATCCTTACCTCTTGAGGCTTTAATTTAGCAAATGGTGTGACTGTGAGGGAGAAAGGTATGTGGCTAGTTTTTAAAATATCAGATGTGCATGGTATATTATACATGGTTGATCTCATAAATCGTGGACTACAGTTCCCTGAAAACAGAAAAATATAGACACAGTAAAAATATAATTGTAATTAAAAACAGCTACACCAATTGATCAATCAGTTTCCTGAAAGCAAAATATAATAATATAATGATCTTTATTTTTAAAAATGTTTAGAAATTGGAAACTAAGTTGATACCTTATGACACTACATTTTGATTTAATCATTAGAAAGAACAATCATTTTTGCCATGGACAACATTTTAAATAATCTGCTTTGCGTAACTTTACAAACTTAGTATTTAATTTGTGTAATAAAGATACATGACTACTGTGATTTACCTTGGTCCTGTACAGAATAGTCTGTGGTAACCAATGGAGGAACGGCACCTTTAGCATTTGTAACAAAAAGATCACTTCTGTTTCTTCTATCTTCTTCTATTACTTGAATCTGAACACAAAGAGTAAATTTAATAAAAACAAATTTATAATATGTTGCACTAGTACCTTTTAACCGTATATATCGTAATAGTATTACATCGATTTACATTGGCCCCACCTGTTTAGTTAATTACTATACTGCTGGGTTAATTATATTTCTTACATTTACCCCTTGTCGCAAAAAAAAAGAGGTACACTGATTTTGATTGAGAATAAGACTGTGAAAGTTTCAGGACCTGGTGAACACGGTATCAGTTGAAGCAGTTTCAAAAACAATTTCCACTTGCTATATACCCTGGCCTTTACTGATGTGTACATTGAGTTTTGCGATTTTTCAAGCCCTGTTGAACCAATTTATATACAGATGGTGTGTAATAAATTAACCTTGGTTAGAGCTGGACAATTTCCTCAGTATGCCCTGTGTTATGCATGCCCCAAAAATGTATTCCATCACATAAAATTAAGACTTACCGGACTAGGCATCTGATCAGGGTCTAATTTTCGTGGTTGTTGTTGTTGAGGAGCTGGCCTTTGACTGCTAAATTGATTATTATAAGGTGCTTGACCAAACTGATCATGTGGTTGCTGTTGACCTGGCATACCACTATAAGCATTATATTGACTAGATGGTGGTACTGTTCCCATTCCACCCATACTTGTTGGTGGAGGACCATGTGTATGACCAGGAGGTGGGAATCCCCCAGGTCCTGGTGACAGATTAAATCCTGATGGTGGTGGAGGCCCACCACTAAACTGTGAAGCACCTGAATTTGGAGGCATACCAAAGTTTTGATGAGGTCCACCCACTGGTGGAGCTGATGTATTACTTGGTGGGTGACCCATACTTTGAGGGAGGCCCATTCTTGAAGGAGGTGGACCCATTCCTTGTGGAGGATCCATATTTGGAAGATGGCCCATTCCTTGGGTTGGACGCATGTTTGTTGGAGGCATTGCCATATTTTGTGGAGGGCCCATACTACTCAGAGGTTGTCCCATACTTGTTGGAGGTCCCATATTATGAGGACCCATATTTGTTGGAGCATGACCCATACTTGTTGGAGGTGGGCCCATATTTGTTGGAGCATGACCCATACTTGTTGGAGGTGGGCCCATATTTGTTGGAGTATGACCCATACTTGTTGGGGGTGGACCCATACTTGTTGGGGGTGGACCCATACTTGTTGGAGGTGGGCCCATCCTTGGAGGTCCCATCCCACCTTGAAAAGTCGCAGTACTTGTTGGTGGTCCACCCATGGGAGGAGGTGCATTTCTGTTAGAAGGAAAGTTCTGTCCATGCTGAGAATTTTGACCCTGAAAAAACAAAAATGTTTAATATAAATAAAAGTTAAAACACTCAAATGATAAAAGGAAATGATGGATAATTCAAAGACGAATTTTTTTAACAATGTAAATACTAAATAGTGAAATAAGAATTGGAGAAATCTGACAGTTTAACACTACTCACCATAGGTGGCGGTGGACCATGCTGATCCGATATCTTCATTCCGCTAAACTAGATTATTTAAAAAAAACATTCAATTATTTTTTTTTGGTAAATACAATCATTTTGGAAAAACATTGTCAAGTTAAATCTCAATAATTATTGTAGAACTAAATCAATACAAGTAGCTTACAATCAAAATAAAGTACATGTATTTTGCTTTTACCGCATTGCGACTATAATTAAATATACCAAATGACAACATCATTTACATGCTGGAAAAAAGTATTTCTATCAGGTAAATATATTTCATATCTTTTCTAACATTTAGTAAATAGACTAACATTATCTTATCAGAAAATTCTGATGTATTCATGTTTACCTGGGTATTAGGTGGTTGGGCACCCGGGGTCATTTGACCTAGGGGTGGAGGACCTCTCATAGGGGGCGCTCCACTTACTCCATTAAATTGACCAACTGGAGGTTGGCCTGGCATAGCACCCCTAAAAGAATTAATTGAAATTAATATATTTTGGCAACAAAAGAAATTTAAGTGAATTTTAGTGACAATGTTATGGAAACAGTTAACCACTGTCAGGATTCAAATTCCCAACTGGCACTAGTACATGCAACTTGAATATTCCGTCCGAAGTGTTGCAATTTTGAGTTACCGGTAAATGGGAATGTAAAAATTCTGATTGAAGATTTTTTTAAGAAATTACATTTGAATAATATTACAGTGTACTTACATTCAGTATCTTGATTCTAATTTAATTCATAATATTTATTTATCAGTTCTTTATATTTATCTAAAGGCTTACCTTGCGGCACCAAATCTATTGTCCCCTTGTGGTCCTGGAGGACCAGGCGGCCCATTCTGTACCTGATTTGGATTAAACATAGCCGGTTTACCACCTGGTGGACCAATTATGCCACTCTGTCCTAAAAGAAAAGGGCAAAATTATTTTTTGTTTTAATAAAAAGAACATAGCAAGCTCTGTATATGTAAGTCAATTTTTTAAGTAAAGATTGATGCTCTATTCAGTTATCAATATTCTTGTTTACAATTAACAACATCAAGAACATGTACGCTAAGCAACAGAAACAGAGTAGCTACAATTCAAGTATAAGAACATAGATGCATGTACAGTAATGATCAGAAATAATTCAAATTTGATCAGATTCTATTTTTGTCCTAGTGCTAACATTATTATACAAAACATGTACTGGTAGTGGTAATCAGATCATGACTTTAGCGGTTTAAGTTCTTGGAAATAATTGTGTATAAATTTCAATTCAAGCAGATAATAACTTTAGCCATCATGCTCATTAGAATGTCCACAAATATGTTAAATTGATCAAGGGCAATAATAACTTCAGGCGTCTTTGTCTCATGAACATAAGCACTGTGTATACATTTCAAGAGCATCTACAGCATCCACAACCAATTGTGGCTGATGACCAACAATATACAACCACATATGAAAGTGTAATATAAAACCAGTGTGATACCCATTATAATCAATAGAAACATATAGCCCATTGGCAATGCCATAAAAGTAATTATTTTTCTGTAAATTACAAATATGTAAGAAATTATCAGGAAGCCTATTTTGTAAATATGCAGGAATGGGTTTCATCAAAATTTGTAATAAAAGGTTCTATGCTGAAATATATACAACCGAATTACACCATTTGACTGATGACTGCTTAATGCGTATCGGCATTGGATTTATTGAGAAAATATCAAATCTCTGAAGCGTGACATCGTATAAATTCCACAACAATGTATGTTTCATCTCATAAGATTTCCTTGAATATATATGACAAAAATTGGTAAATTTACTTCGCCCGTCTTCGAGATATTGTAGAACTTTCAGTCATCATGGAGTTGAATCACGATATAAAAATATTTGATTACCCAACGGGTATGGCCGTCAATATTTGGTTTCCCTTAGATTTTTTTTTTTTTTCTGGTTATGACCCTGTATCCATTCGGTGTTAGAATAGTTAGATTTCAAATTATAGAGCTACCCTCACTCGCCAACTATATCTTTATGTCTGGGAATGGATTTCAGAGACTATGACCATGGCCATAGAAGCAAGCCCACATGGTTGATTGACTAGACTGTGACATTTTTCATATAAAAAAAGTAATACTATGGATTAATAGACTTTTATGTGCATTTTCCGATTGTGGGTTGTGACATGCAAGTTATAGAATGAAGAGCTACATGTACGATAGCAAGTAAAGTTAGAAATTCAAGAAAGGTAGCAGTCTACCATACTTTTATTTTCCGAAAATGGCGAAAATCTGCCAATAAATTTTCCCTCAGACAAAATGACAGACAGTTTAGAAATTTCACCGGACAAGTCGCGGAATTCGACCGGACATTGTCCGTAGGGCTGGCAAAAATATCGATATAGCCGTTAATTGTTGGCAACTACAGAAAAATATCGATATATCGATATTCAATTCTTGGTATCGACACTCGTATAAAAAATAAAGGAGCTTCAATAAAATGAAATTAAAGGAATGTTTTGTGTCAAATAATCGCGGTCATATTCAAAACATGCTAAAAGTAAATACACACACACTAGACAATGTACAACCACCGCGCCGGTAATTTTTGGGGTTGTTTACAAAAATGACAATGAATAATTAATTAATTGTTCAGGGGAAATAACTCAATTTTAATAGAAATTTATTTATTGTTATAAGCAGTCGAGGAAAATTGTCAACAGCAATTGATGGCGAGCGCGAAGCTGAGATTACTATTTTGTTAATAATACTAATACTATAAGATAAGCTGTGAACGAAACAAACATTAAGAAAACATAGTTTGAGGATCATAGTATCTTTTTTTATTTGATCAATAACACATTTAAATGCATTATTAGCATACAAACAGTTATTTCTTTCAACTTTAAATTTTCTGATATATCGATATCGATATTGCCGAAATGGTTGCCAATATCGATATTCAAAATAGGTATCGATTGCCAGCCCTAATTGTCCGTGTCCGACCAGTTATTTCCAGGCATGCCAACCAACAGCATGTCTAAAATAAAAAGCTATGGCTTCTTTCTGATTAAAACAATCAAATGGGTGTGAAATATTTATAGACACCTCTAAGAATCTAATATAAACATCAATGATTAAGATTGTTGACTGGGTATTCAAAATTAGTTCTAGTCATACATAATCAAAGGAACAGCCACAATTGTTCATGTAAGTGCATTCTTCTATCTTCCACAAGAGACTCAATCCAATAAGGTTGGATCGACTTATAATTCAATATTGGACTTGCTAACATTGCAAAACGTAAGATTGGGTGTCTATACTTTCCATATATACCAAATTTGCCATACTTTTATTGGAAATAACCACCCGATAAATACTTTCAGGACAATGTACATGTATCTTTAAGGGATACTTAAAAAGCTTATAAAACCCTTCAAAGCATTAAACTTACCTGGTAGATTTGGTGGCATATTTCCCTTGTTTACAGGTGGTGGCATTCCATACCCTTGTGGTGGATGCCCATAATTTCCTGGATATTGGGCACTCATTCTAACTAAATCACTTTCAGAATCTTATTATGTCTTGGACGCAAACCATCTGAAATTAAAATCTATTGTACCATACGAAAATTCATTCCTGGTTACTCAAATGCGCTTATTTTAGTTGTAAACTATTAAACTAAGAATTAAAAGCAGACAGTTGTATAGCTGTGATGTGCCATGATGGCATCATATGATGTGGCCTGTGCGGGTAATATGCAAGTGGTGGCCAGGTTCTGGTATCAAGCTGACTTGTTTTACAATTACGTGGTATAGTTCTTGGTCTTAACCTAAATAATATTTGATAACAAATTCTTGGACCTGTGTAGGTTACTGTTCAACTGTTGTGTTAACTTCACTTATCTTAAGTGGTAAGGCTAAGAAGAGTGAGTCAAAACTGACGTATGTGAATGTTCCAGCCTAGGACACTAAAAAGTCATTATTCAATTGGATTAACAGAAATTTGCGATCACTATACTGTTATACCAGTATTGTTAATAATATAATTTTGTCATAGTAATAGTATTATATTTATAATTATGATCGCCAAATTCAGCTGATCCCAGGAATTCCACAAATTGGCCACAACGTCGTAAACGTGACATTACAAGATCATGCAAAATTTCTTACGATATTGACCCTTGTACGGTGTAGATATGGAACATAGTTGTGCAAAATATAAAAGAGGGTATCCTTACCTGATCTTCGGATTTGTTATTTTAAAAATTTAGGTTGATTTTATGATCTTATATGAAGAAAGTCAAAATTAACACCGTACTTTCTGCCACGTACGGGTTGCCGACATGCGTTTCCGTACATGCGCATTTGGTGCCACGTACACAGGAAGTTGATATTGAGTCTGTAAACAACTTCCTTGTAGCAGACGCTTTTACAGAGCTGTGAACAAATTTAGCGTAATATTACTAATAATTCACGTCCAATATGTATATTTTGTATAATAATAAATCGGTGGTATGTTTCATTGTATGCGTTCAATGCTTCCAAACTGACAAATTATGAAATGTAGCAGTCCAGTTTAGATTATTATTTATACCAATCATGGGGATAGGCATGGCAATATATAAATGACAGTGAGATTAAGAGAGTGAAGAGAGTAGGCCTAGATATAAGAAGGCCTAACCTCATCTCTCGAACCTACTGTCTCATCTGTATTTTTCAAAGATATTAGCTACATTCTCGTAGCTATCAAATGACAAACGAGAGAGAGGAAGAGATGGAGTTTCACGTCTGGGTCTTTAGCAGTCGTCGGAGGATTAATCCAATGAGGTTGGACAGGCTATATATACCCTACTCCTACTCACGTACAAGCGTCACAAGTGGAGAATCGAAACCACGCCACTTGACTCGGTGACAGACCTTATGATCTAGATCATTAGGCTCTTAACCCCCCCCCCCAACAAACTTGAAAGAATATTGCTTTTGAGGGAGGCGGAGGTGGGGGGGATTGTGGATTAAGCTTTGTTGAGGGGTTAGAACCCCGGCCATTCCCCACACACCCAACAAAAACAAACTTGGCCTTATCATTCCATCTGCCCCCTGGTGTTCCCAGCTGTCAAAATAACCATAATATTAGTCAGGGAAAGAGTCAGAAATTTTTGTCTAATGTTTTGTACAACATGGAGGTGTCTTCATTAGCCCGGTTAGAATTCCAATAGTTTATCCCATTATAGGACCTACAGATAATGAGTTTAAAGGAGGCAAATCTCAAACTCAATATTATCCACAGTCTTCAACTTCGCAAATACGACTTATTGGTCAATTTAAGTTATCTTACCATGAAAAGATGTGCTTCTGATATCCAGTATTTAAGACAAAATGAAAATTTTAAAATTGGCACACAAATTACATTTGTAATGAAGCTGGGGGCCACGGTGGCTAAGTGGGTAAGCCTGGAGGTCAGGTGTTCGAACCCTGCATTGGCTGAGAAAGTTCATGCAGATTTTCCGACGTGGTTTCCCCTTGTCAGTGATGCAGGACGGAGGACCTGACTAGTCATAGCACGCTGTATGGCGTATGCCTATCTTCATTAGCTCAGTTCGGAGCAGAACAGTAGGACATTAAACCCCATTTCTATTAATGAAGCAACTGGATGAATGGTGTAGACTGGAATAACCAGATGCCAAAGACTGCCATTCAATTTGGACTCTTTACCTATTTCGCAGAACATAACTGATTAGAAATTACAGTAAAAACAGAAATGATTGAATGTAAATCAGTTTATATACATTCATATTACATTTCTAGCTCTAGAGATTTAGCTCATATAAATATACTTATGTCTATATCTCTATTTAGTACTGAGTACATATCGAATATAGTGTAAGTGAAAATAATTTAAAGTCACTATTTCTGGTTACAGATATCTGAAGAAAGAAGAGACTGGTAATGGTACTGTAAATATAACTAGTTTGTGAAAACTAAATTGATTTTAACAGATGTTACATTGTTACACAGAAACACTTCAATAACTTTTGTCTCAAAACTTTCTTAAGGATTTTTACTATAGAAATATGCAAAGATATATTTATGTGGTATTCTTATCATTGTTTGCAACACTTAAATTTGACGTATTAGCTGAACTCCAATATTCCGATAGGCACTCTTACTCAGAAGACGACAACTTAAATGATGTGCACCATATGTATTCCGACTATGGCAGTAACTATCATACTTACACTGATAAAAATGGTGACATGGATATACCCATAATACTTTGGTGGACTTCTGCTTCTTTGTACCCACATCCTGATAGACAGGGAACTGTAATCCAATGCGGGGATGTGCAGTGTTATTCTTCAGCCAACAGAAAACAGTTAACTGATGAAAGAACAAGAGGAATAATGTTTTATGGCACAGATTTCGATCCTACTGATTTACCTTTACCTAGAGCTAGTCAACACGAGTGGGCATTATTTCATGAAGAATCACCACTAAATAATTTCATACTTAATCATAATATATTTTTAAAACTGATCAATCATACAGCTACATTTAGGAGGGAGTCTGATTATCCCATAACAACACAGAATATATATCATCCTGATTTTTTAACGATAAAACAACCACTGCCCTTGACTGTGAAAAATGAGAAAAGAAAGAAAAATAACCTAGCCCCAGTTTTATATGTACAGTCTCATTGTGAAGTGCCGTCTGATCGTGATCGTTATATTGAAGAGTTAATGAAACATATTGATGTTGATTCCTATGGTAGCTGTCTCCATAACAAAGATTTGCCTGATCATCTTGTAGATCCAGCATCAAACTTTGAAAAAGATGAATTTTTGGAATTAATACAGTCTTATAAATTTCATCTGGCATTTGAAAATGCAATATGTAAAGATTACATGACAGAAAAGCTGATGCGTCCACTTCATATTGGCTCTGTTCCGATCTATCGTGGTTCACCCAATGCTAAGGATTGGATGCCAAATGATAAATCCATTATCCTTGTTGATGACTTCGAATCTCCTAAAGAGTTAGCTGATTATATCAAATACCTGGATACTCATGATGAGGCATATGAAAAATATTTAGAATTTAAAAAACCTGGAGGTGTAAAAAATAAAATGTTAATTGAGCATTTAGCTAATAGAAAGTGGCATGTGAATATTGATGGAAGCATGGAATATTTTCGAGGATTTGAATGTCACATATGCCATAAATTAAATGAAAGATATACTTTAGAAAAAGCACATGAAATTGATCCTACTGTGGAACTACTACCCCCTAAAACAGCCAATGTTTCTCATCTGGGTTGTCCTCAACCATATACTTCTTTAGGTCATCCAGAGGATATAAAAAATACAAGTGATCCGTAAGTAAATAAAGTTAGATAGTTGAATGTTAAACAACAGAATGTGTTTTGTTTTTTTATTTTCTGTTGGACTTTAATAATATAATGTTACTTTTAATTTTAGAGAATATTGACACACCCTGAAGAAAGTCAAACATTATTCCCACTATTAGTATTACATGTATAGTTCATTTGTCTTGACAGATCTGCTGTATAACTTCTTATTTCAGATGGAGAAAAATGGAATGGGTGGAAATGTATTGGGAAGGATTTGATCAAGCTAGGGCAGTAAGAAATATGCTTTTAAACCATGAGACTAAACCATCTAAATATAAAAAATATCTGAGAAAAATATGAGACTAAACCAAGCAGTAAGAAATATTCACTGACTATACCAGTGTGGTAATGTGTGTTCTCTCCCCTTATGTTTCTGAAAACATTTATAAATATATGGAATATATTATTATATTTGAGGTGTGAATATTAATCCTTATACACATTATATATAATTATTTAGTTTTATATATTGGTTAACATATTATTTATACATGTAATATTAATATACATCCCTGTATATTAACAATTAATTGGTTGATTCAGTGAGGTTAGTAATAATAGTACTATGAATAACAAGTTTTAAGTTGTTGGATATATTGATGACGTTTTTATGATCATTTCAGTTTTAAATACCGTATTATTCAGTTTTCTTGCAAATAATGTGACTATAGACAGTTCGATTGGTTGCCAATTTTACATGGAAATCAAATTAATGGTATTATAGAATTTTGCCAGCGAAAATCATTTTAGATATTTTATCAACCGATTGCTGCCCTGGTATAATCTTGAATGTTTGTTTTTTATTTTTAAATTATTTAATAACAATTGTGTTGATTTATTGTTGCATAATATTTTTTGTTTTATGCTATATTTTTCTTTTATAGTATTTTGCCTATTTTTTTTATAAGGTTTCTTATATATAATAACAAATTTTGTATTTTATTAAACGAATCAGCAAAATAAAGTGCCAGAACAGATCACTTTTTCGTCACCTCAATGGCGTTTTTAGCTGGATGTCACAGTTTTTATTTGATTTTAAAAACTGTTGAAATTCTCATATTTATGGTTTAGTACGAATTTCGTCAAAATGACCACCATCCTTTAGAGTTACACAAATAGTGCAAAAACATGTAATACATATACCAAGGTTGTCAACGCTCTATAGGCTTCAAACTCATCAATTCAGATGAAATTTATAATTCACAGTTCTTGAATGAGTTCGATTTTGGTGCACTGCAAAACTCAACTTCTTGTTTAATACAGCCTGGGTTGAATTATTCAGTTAGTTTGTATGTGTCTGCGGTTTTTTTTTATCTTGTGGCACATTTTATACGTGTATAGGGGATATGTCAAATGCATCTAAATCAACCATATATATATATGACCTCAATGAAGCAGACGACAAATTTATGACGTAATCCGCATATGGTTGTCTCAGTTTATGGTAAACTTTACCAGTCACAATGTGCTTACTGCTTAGACTTCTACTTGACTTGTGCTTACGTAAGAATGGTCTTGAGAATTTTCAAGGGACGGTATTTTTATAAGTTTCTTACGTAAGAAAAAGTGAAGCGTGACTGTGCTTACTTCAAGAATTTTCTAGGAACCGGGCCCAGAACACAGATTCAGTGACCATTACGGCGATACTTCCAGAAGGCTACAGTTTTCTACACATTCCACGTGCGTATAGGGGTGGCGGCGTTGGTCTTGTCTACAAATCAACTTTAAAAATATCTTTGCAGTCTATAATGGGGTATTCAAACTCTTTTGAGTGCCTTGATTGTTTGATATCGAACCTTAACAAATCTATCCACCAGTTAATTGTTTATAGGCCCCCAAATTCCAATAATAACGACTTTTTTGAGAAATTTACATCATAGTCCGACCGTTAATGTAAATCCGTCGGCTTTATGGGTAGAAATCGTGGAATAAGCTTTATTTTGTATGTTTTGATGTTTTTTCCAAAAAAACAATGTTGACATTTTTTTTGAGTAGGTCTTCATAGTTTGGGAGGCCATTATTTGAGGGCAGCCATTTTGCGATAATATTCCAAATTATTTTTTATTTTCACCTTATAATGTTATCGACATATGAACTGTGATTTGGCAATATATTAATATTGGTGGCATTCATGACTATATTTCAGAATGTTTTCCATCATTTCATGATGATATTTCCAAGATGGGCCCATTTTTAGCGGGAAAATCGGTCGATGTGCTGATTTCGATTAAGTAGTAGCGTTTGGTGTCAATATATGTTTTCGGGGTCACAGATTCCATTCCTGACGTTTACAACCTTGTCAAATGATCACATGTTCATATACTTAGCATATTACGAAGATGGCCAGCATTTTTGGCGGGAAAATGAGACGATGTGTAGATTTTGATTAAGTGGTAGTGTTTGGTGTCAATATATATGTTTACAGGGTCACAGATTCCATTCCTGACGTTTACAACCTTGTCAAATGATCACATGTTCATATACTTAGCATATTACTAAGATGGCGAGCATTTTTGGCGGGAAAATGAGACGATGTGCAGATTTTGATTAAGTGGTAGTGTTTGGTGTTAATATATATGTTTACGGGGGCGCAGAATCAATTTCTGACATTTACAACCTTGTAAAATGATCACATGTTCACATATTTAGTATATTTCCAATATTGCTGCCACTTGTGGTGGGAAAATCGGACGATGGGTTGATTTCGTTTAAGTAGTTGTCTTTGGTGACAATTATATATGTTTTCGGGGAGTCATATACAACTACGTAAAATGGTCGTATGTTCACCAATTTAGCATATTTCTAAGATGGTGGAACGTTTTCTAAACACATTATTATCATCGATTTTTCTGGGAAAGTAAAGCCTATGCCTGGCATAAAGGCAAACAGAGCATAGCGGCAGCGTGGTGCTTACGCCACGACCACACCAAGCGCTTACTACAAGATCTTACTACGCTCATGGCCAGGCTCTGGCTGCGCGAAAAGTGTTCCCACCATGATCTCGCGATTACCAGTCAGACCGGGATACTTTCTCAGCACACTCCAGTGACGTGTCTACCAGGCGTTAGGCGTTCTCTCCCCACGCCCATTCACTTTCAAAGCAGAGAACAACCAAAAGTCAAGCAATCAAGAACATTTCATAGTTGTCTCGAGGTTTCCTCTTTGGGTGCTAGACTGGAGCTGATGGACGATGCCCAGTATCTTCCCTATATATACATAAAGTTCGTAACAGCGTAGCAAGCATATGGCCAGGAGCTTCGTTCCAGCCTGGCAGCAACGTGGATGATAGTGGTGGGGACGTGGCTATAAATGAAATACTTGCTAAGAAGCCCTCATAGCTTAGATCATGTTATCAACTGACTTCCAAGATGAATGTAGAACGAGCATGTGGAATGATATTGCGTTGGAAACATAAAGTATGTCACCACTTACACAACGAAGTGACTGGCTACTTTGACATCACTGCCAGTGGAGATGGCAGAGATGTCATAAATAACGGGTCACGGCGTCGTTTAAGTGGTGATATACTTTATGTTTCCAACGCAACAGTAATCCTCTGAACGATTCCTTCCACACGCATCTTGGGGTCAGTTGATAATATAACCTATGCCATAAAGGTTTCTTATAGCAAGTATTACTACTGCATTTGCAGTCCTTGTTTTTATTTCTTTGCATACCACTTTATATTTAATATCATACATTTCTGTTCTACTCAAAAGTTGTAAGTCTCACATTTTTAACCATAGTTAAACATAAACTGAAAGTCTCGATGGCGCCACCAAGTCTTAAAGTCAGACTGGAGCTCAACTACTACATTGTTGGATAATATACCTAATGGGTAAACTCGGCACGGGCTTCCAGGAACATGCTACAAGCTTATACATAGCAGAATTGGATTCAGAAACCTTTTCAGTAATGTGTTTAGAAAACGTCCTGCCACAAACAAAATTATGCTGAATGTGTGAACATACCACCATTTCACGCAATTGTAAAAGGCAGAAATCGAATCTGCCCCCCCCCCCCCCCCGAAAAACAAATATTGACACAAAAACGCGACTACATAATCAAAATCAGCACATCGTAACATTTTCCCGCCTGACATGAAAGCCATATTGGAAATATGCTAAATATGTGAATATGTGATAATTTTACACAGTTGTAAACGGCAAAAATGGAATCTGCCCCCCAAAAAATATATCCTGGTACCATAGACGACTACTTAATCAATATCCGCACATCGTTCCATTTTCCCGCCAAAAATGGCCGTCATATTGTAAATGTGCAAAATAATCATTTTACACAGTTGTTACTGACCGAAATGGATTCTGTGCCCTTGAAAACATATATATTGACACCAACGACGACTACTTAATCAATATCAGCACATCGTCCTATTTTCCCGCCAAAAATGACCGCCATCTTGAAAATATGCTAAGTATATGAACATGGGATCATTTTACAAGGTTGTAAATGTCAGGAATGGAATTTGTGACCCCGAAAACATATATTGACACCAAAAACTACTACTTAATCGAAATCAGCACATCGTCCGATTTTCCCGCCAAAAATTGTCGCCATCTTGGAAATATCATACTGAAATAATGGAAAACAATCTGAAGTGTAGTCATGAACCCTGCTAATATTAATACATTGCCAAATCACAGTTCATATGTCGATAACATTATAAATAAGGTGAAAATAAAAAAAATAAGTTGGAATATTATCGCAAAATGGCTACCCTCAAATAATGACCTCCCATACTATACTATTCAAAAAAAGTAGGGGATATTTGATTTTGGGGGCATAATACTAAAATATGCAAATGACTACGAAAAAAGTCACTATAGAACCTAACGGAAGAAACATTTCCAGTTACATGTGACGCCCAAACGCACCAATAGCTACCGCATGGAATGTGCAAATGACTACGAAAAAAGTCACTATAGAACCTAACAGAAGAAACATTTCCAGTTACATGTGACGCCCAAACGCACCAATAGCTACCGCATGGAATGCAGGTGATGCTTGGGATCATCATGGGGGTCCAACCCAAGATTTGCACGACTCTGACTTTGAATGTTACAGTCATTGTGGCATTGAATTCCAGGGTGGAAACATCAGTTTAATTGTTTTAGTGACCAGAAAACAAATTTTGATATGCGTCGGCTTACCCAAAATGAAAGGTTACGTGCCCTTGGCATGCTACAGATCGGCACAACACAGGCGGTTGTGGCGCGGACGATGAATGTTTCTCAGTCTGTCATAAGCAGGCTATGGTCCAGATACCGTGATACACAATCTGTACAGGACAGACCACGCTCAGGTCGACCAAGGGCGACAACTCAAGCCCAGGATCGATTTATCCGTACCTTGGCCTTGAGAAATCGTGTCATCACAGCAAATCAGATCAGCGCTCGTCTTCAAACAGACACTGGTGTGAGAGTGAGTGGCCAGACGATTCGGAATCGACTGCATAGGGGTCACCTTCGCGCCCGACGTCCTCGCGTGATCCCTTGTTTGAGAGATCATCACATTCAGGCAAGACGTCGTTGGTGTAGGGATCGTCAACACTGGGATAATCGACGCTGGAGCAATGTGATGTTTTCAGATTAGTCAAGGTTCACTGTTGATTTTTTGGACAGACGTAGGAGGGTGTGGCGTCGTCGAAACGAGCGCTTCCAAGACGTTAACGTCATCAGACATGATCGATTTGGGGGTGGTTCTGTTATGGTGTGGGGAGGCATCACTGTTGCTGGAAGAACGGCTTTACATGTTGTTGCAGGGCGTGTTACAGGCCAGTACTACCGGGACAACATCTTGGCAGTCCATGTTGTGCCGTTCGCACGACGTCATGGCCGCCGTTTCATCTTCCAGGATGACAACGCAAGATGTCACAGGGCCAGGATCGTTACAGGTTACCTCCAACAACAGAACATCACCACATTACCTTGGCCAGCACTGAGTCCCGACCTCTCCCCCATCGAGCATGTCTGGGACATGCTTGGACAGAGGTTACGTCAACGTCAACAACGTCCTGCCAATGTCCAAGAACTTGCTGCTGCGTTGCAACAGGAAGGGGACAATCTGGACCAAAATGACCTTAGACGTCTCATTAGGAGTATGCCACGTCGGATCAATGCTTGTTTGGCAAACAGAGGAGGATTTACCCGTTACTGACTTGGTTGTGATGCTGTGGTAACTTTGCTGTTTGACCCCGGGTATCATTTTACCCTTATAATGGTCAGTCTGTGCCTTACTTAGTCTAACGATCATTTGGAAAAAATCGATGAATGTGAACTTCATTTCATTTTGTCATTTGTTTCTTCGTCAGTTTCATTAGGTGACTTTAATAACACTTAAAAATCAAATATCCCCTACTTTTTTTGAATAGTATATGAAGACCTACTCAGAAAAAATGTCAACATTGGTTTTTTGTAATCAACCATCAAAACCTACAAAATAAAGCTTATTCCATGATTTCTACCCGAAAAGCCGACGGATGGGAATTATGTAACAACCCGAATCCGACTATCACTTCTTGAAACAAAATTATTGTCGAAGGGCGACCTGTTGATACTTGACGACTTTAATATTCACTTCGAAAACAGTTTTGACCCACTGAGTAGTCGCTTTCGGGAAATACTGCTTACCTACAACCTTCAACAACATGCCAACAAAAAGACCCATAATAGAGGTCATCTTCTTGACTTTATCATTACGCGCCAAGATGAGATACATATACATGATGTACTGGTGGAAGATACCCTACTATCAGACCATTTTCCTATCACCTTTAACATTCAAACCAAGAAGCCGACTTTAGACAAGAAAACATTATCGTTTCGTAGATTTAAATCTTTAAACAAATACCTTTAGTGAAACAATTGTTACATCGAACTTTTCCGACATCTGTGAATTGTGTGATGTGAATGTAAAAGCTGATTCATATGATAAAACACTGAGAAAGATCATTGACGATCTAGTTCCGTTACCCACTAAAACATTGACTGTTAGACCAGAAAATGAGTGGAGTAACAATCAAATGGCTCAAGCAAAACAAAAACGCAGAAAAAGTGGCGTGAGAACTCCCTTCATATCCATAAAAACCTTTACGGAGAAGAGAAAAACAAAGTCAAATATATAATTGAACAATCAAAAGTTTCCTTCTACAATGAAAAAATTCAAAATAGTGCCAACAAACAGAAATATGAGACGCCAACAGTAGTGTGCATTGAAAATTTCGATTTAGTTAGCGAATCTGTTGTTTCAGATATTATTAAATCGTCAGCCCCTAAGATCTGCCCTCTTGACCCCCTCCCTACATCTTTACTAAAAGAAAACCATAATTTATTCTTACCTGTGATTACTGATATCATAAATTCTTTTATTCAAGAAAGAAAGTTACCGGATTGTTTTAAAGTTGCTAATGTCGCCCCAGTTATTAAAAAATCAACTTTAGATAGCCAATAGATGTGCTAAAAGATTACCGTTCTGTATCAAACTTGAGTTTTATCTCCAAACATTTTTAAAAATGTATAGCCAGACAACTGACTGATCATATTGACACACACAACCTTCACGATAGTCTACAAAGTGCATATCGTAAGTTTCATAGTGTTGAGGCGGTTCTTATCAAAGTGCAAGATGGTATATTAAGGTCAATAGACAATAGAAACTGCGTTCTTTTGGTACTTTTATATTAGTTTGTGTCGAGTGGACGTCAAACCCCATTTCTCTCTCTCTCTACTGTCCTGTTACAAAGACACGAAAGACTTCAGACAGACTTTGGTGTCAAAGGCTCTGCACTCCAGCTACTTGTGAGCTATCTTACTGATAGAAAACAGAGGGTTGTTATCGGCAATGTGAAGTCAGACTACCATAATAATTTATATGGGGTACCACAAGGGTCGGTCCTTGGACCCATTTTATTTACTCTTTACACTGCTCCAGTTGGTAAAATTGTTAAAAGACATGGTCTTGGCTATCATATTTATGCTGATGATACCCAGTTTTATTTAAGTTTTAATCCTTTAAAATCGAATGAGCATGCTTTGAGCAAATCTAATATTGAGCAGTGTATCAATGAAATTAAATTATGGATGTCTGTAAATTTACTATTCTTAAATGGTGATAAAACTGAATTTATTTTGCTTGGATCTAATCATAACCTCAATACTATAACTGAATCCACTTCGATTAATATTGTTGGAAATGAAATTACTCCTATTAACTCTGTTCGCAGTTCAAATGACAGTTATCGTCTCAAGCCAAGATCTGCTAGAATGGTTACATATGGTGATAGATCCTTTTCATTTTTAGCCCCAAAACTGTGGAATGATTTAAAACCATCTGGTTCTGATACTGATATTCGTTCCTGCCCCTCGATACAATCTTTTAAATGTGCTCTTAAAACTTACTTATTCAAAAAAGCTTTTACTTAGATATATATTATTTTATTATATTGCATCTTTTAGTTGTTTTTATTTGTTGTTTTACTGGTATATGATTGTACTCGTTGTTTTGTAAAGCGCTTCTGAACACCGTTGGTGAAACTAGCACTATATAAATGTTTAATAATAATAATAATAATAAATAAACTGTATGTTTGTTTATTTGAAACAAGACTGAAATAGTTTCAATTAAACTATTTCCACATTTGCTAGTAAGTCAGTCGTTTAGGGATTTTAGGTGTGGTCAGACCATTTTTGTTTTATAAAATAACAATAACGGAACCTAGATCAGACAATTCTGAAGCAACTTTATTTACAGAAATAAACAATATCACAATTGTAAAATAAAAACTTTAACTGATGACATTTACCCTCACACTGCCTTATCATATTTTTAAAAACAACTTTGTAAAAGAAGCAATTATATCGTATAATGAGTATTGGACCGATTGATAGTGCACCTATTTAACATGCTATTATAATTACATGTACCAAATGCAAGAAAAATCAATTAACATATCAAAGATAAAAGCACATCACAATTAAATCAATTTAGAAACACTTTGACTAGATAACACTGTTTTTACCCTTTATCAACTGTTTATCGCTATGCTTATTAACAATACATATCTCCGTTTCACTGGACTTCATATCTTCATTCGAAGCTGAATCGGGAGTAAAGCAAATTGGTCCAGTTTCCCTGTCCAGACCTGGCTCGAAAGATGAACCACAAAGCGCGTTACTGATGCCTTGTGTTTCACTCGGTGTTGAAAACATAAGTAAATAACCCCTATAAACTGCTAGACCAATCTGTAGAACCAATAGTAGAGTTAATACCCAGCTTGATATCTGGAATAAAAAATGAGGCAAGCTGAATTGTGATCCCACCTGACAGAGATATGTAACAATACGACCTCATTAGATAATGCTCATTAGAGAGGTCACACGATTATCTCGAGAATTTTTCCTGTGCACGCCAATGACATTTATAAGTGACTCTAAAAGCCGAACGGTCCATATTGTTTTTAATGTTTTTATGCAATTGTTAAAGTACATATACTCTTCAAAAAAGTAGGGGATATTGAAATGCAAATACCTATGCAGGTTGTGATATGATCAATAGCCATGGACACTTGACATGCCTTGAGAGTATGTTCACAGATGAAGAACTTATCGCCTCAACAGAACCACTGAGCTACACACGCGACACGCAATAGCGCCATACACGTGGGAGGGGTTCATTGTCAAATTTGACACTTCAACGAAGGGTTGATGAAAACTGCCGCATGCTGGTTTATCCTATCCATGTTTGCTTTCCTATCGGCTCTTGCATACGATTTACTGTTTAGCGTATCTTTGCTTTAGTGTGTTACGTTTAATTTGATCGGGAGCCGTGTTCGTTGACGTCAACCGACAAGACTGCAAGAATTGGCCGTGCCACTGCAAGAGGAGTGGGTCAGATTGCCCCAAATCGTGATTGGACGGTTGATTAGGAGCATGCCATGACGAATTGCTGAATATCTGAGGATTGGTGGAACAATTACTCATTATTACTGTGTATGTTCATGTGTAGGCAATTGGCCTGTTATTAACATACACTGGTTACCTCTAATAAAAACAGCAGTGCATTTCCACAGTTTTATATTGTTTCTGAATATCCCCTAATTTTTTTGAAGAGTATATTTTGATATACTTACTTAGTTTAAACAATACTTTATTCAATATGCTGAATTGGATTGAACAACAGGCAAAGGCCTATATAAGTTCTCTCCAAACATATAAAATAGTTAAATCTTATGTTTACAATACAATGGTGGACATATGTACAGGCATGTATACATTTCTTGGAGTGTAATTTCAAGTTTTAAATGTTAAAGAAAGTGTTAAAATCTCTTGCTGTCTTTTATGTATTTTTGCACAATTTCAAATATGTTAGAATTGGTATTATCTGAAAGAGCGGGGTTGCCATATAAGATCAGGTCAATTGTAACATTTTAAGGTGGTGTAGATTAGTTTTTAGAATTGTTCTTGGGGCAGAGTATGCTGGACATATTAATTTTTGTTTTATTCTGCGATTAGACAATGATTACCAACCAAGCTCTTTGTATAAATTGTTTTAGATGAATTTCTTCTAAGGCCAGTTATTATTCTACCTGCTTTAGTTGGAACACTTTCTAATAGATCATTATTATTCGAATTCCATAAAATTTTCACTGTGTGATACCTATGCCATTTATGATTTCATACAAGTAATTTAAGATTTTCATTCTCACCGGAAGTACCGTCATTTTGGCAAAAACTGTAATTTTAGCCTCTAAAACAAATACTTGTTTGAAGTAAGCGATATTCATTATTCGTATAAAATTATGATATTTGATTCCTATGGGCAAATAGTATTAATCAATACGATCATATTGATATCACAAAATTTGTTTCTAGCATCTTCCCTTGCCGAGAAATAACCTATTTTGCCAGGATCACTTTTTAAGATTTTCCTCATTTTAATTTCAGTTCATGGGTTCTTGGTTAATTATTTATTGCCTGATTTGTGTAAAAGAAAAGCCCATATGCTCCGTGGTGCAAATTCTTAACTTTCTTCTCCCAATAAAAATTTCTGTCGGCACCGGAAGTGACGTAATTTTGCCCAAAACTTGAATTTTGACGTGTCTAAAGGTGTTTTAAAACGCAAATATTAATGTTTACAAATCCAATAGATCAAGATGAATGCTCCTACTAAAGCCGCAAATTATGTCTTGCTTAGTGCGTGGTTTCGAATCCCCCGTTGTACGTGACAAGGAGTAGGGTCGCCTGTCCAACCTCGTGGGTTTTCTCCGATTTCCTCCCACTGCTAAAGACCCCTATACGCAAGCGAATTATTGAAATAAAATTAAACCATATGTTAGTCCCGAAATGACTTGTGTCGAGTGGACGTTAAACCCCATCAATTTTGCATGCGTCACTTTTCACGTTATTTAGCCCGTGAAAGAGTCAATTATCATTCGGTATTCAATTTTTATTTACCATGCCTAATGTCAACTTGGTCTAGGTCAAACCATTTTAACATGTACAATGTCACCGGAAATGACGTCATTTGGACAAAAACTGTATTTTTAGCCTTCTAAACAGATATTTTATTCAAATGAGTCTGATTTGTAATATTTTTAAAATTATGAAATTTGATTCCAATCAACAAATAGATTGAACCCATACTATCATACAGATACCACAAAATGGTTTCTAACTTGTACGGTTGCAGAGAAATTGACGATTTTCTACAAGTCACTTTTCAAGGTTTTAGGTCTATTAAGTGGCAGTTATTATTCGATTTTCATAAAATTTTCACCATGTGATGGCTTATGCTATTTATGATTTCATAGAATTAATTTAACATTTTCATTATCCCCGGAAGTAATGTCATTTTGGTAAAAACTGTATTTTTAGCCTCCAAAACAGACATTTTTTGGAAATGATTTATATTTATTATTCGTTTAACAGTATGATATTTGACTCCAATGGACATATAGATTGAATCAATACGATCATATAATGTCCAAAAATTGCTTCTAGCATCTTCCATTGTCGAGAAATAACCAATTTTGTCAGGATCACGTTTTAAGATATTTTTTTTTTTTTTTTGCATTTTAATTACCCATTAGAAAGTCAGCTAATTTAGCGGTAGGACAGTAACAAATTTTGTCAGGATCACTTTTTTGACATATGTAACACATGGTAAAAAATCTAAATGGAATTGATATGGCTGGATTTGGTTGATTCTGCGTCCATTTTATTTGATGTGTGCAATGTTTATGTGGAAACCTGTTTAATGGTTTCATTGGTACCGGAAGTGACATAAGTTCAAGGGTAACGTGGCACTGATAGTGACATAAGTTCAAGGGTAACGTGGCACCAGTGAAATTCGTCATTACTGCATCGCAGTTCTAGTTATTATTATTATTCAAATACTATTTTGATTGGATCTCAGCAACAGGGCACATAGCTAAGCTACTTTTGATTTTTGATTTTCGACAAATCTTCGCAGATATAAGGCGCCAAATTTAGAAAATTTAAATTTTTACAAAAAAACCTTTTTATTGATGAATATTTTTTAGTCGTTTTTTTAACAGAATTAAGGAGTCATCTGACTTGAGCAAAAATGTGATTTTTTTTTTGTCTCAGTAATTTTCCTTGGCCGCGATTGGCTAATTCAGTTTTTCAGCCCTAGATTAATTATTTATTGTTCGATTTGTATAAAACAAAGTTCATATGCTCTGTTGTCTCAATTGTCATTTTTTTTGTTACCGATAGAGCTATCTGTCGGCACCGGAAGTGGCGTAATTTTACCAAAAATTATAATTTTGACAGTTAGGTACCATTTTTCGAAAGCAAATATTATTTTTTTTAAAACTGATTTAACTAAAAGAGTGTGAGCTCAGTTTTTTAAATTTCGATTTCATTTTCGAACAAATTCGATTAAGAGGTGAAAAAGGGTGTAAAATCGACTTATTTACAACCCACTCAGGCTTTTCAGATTTTAAAATATTTCTACGTAACTTCTATAAACTTGTAGCTATGATCCATACGAAGAAAATGTATATTAAAATTAGTTTGTAATATAAGCAGTTACCTAGAAATGGCAATTTTGCATAAGTCACTGTTTTCGTTGTTTTGCCTGTAAAATAGTGAATTATTATTGGATTTTCACAAAAGTGACACCATGCAGTAAGGGTGGATATTGGGACGATTTTGACAATCAAATAAAAACTGTTAGGTCTAGAGGGTCCACAAGCTAAACATGTCGAGATCTTTCGGTTATAAATATACATTGTCAGTTTCAACAAAATCGTATAAAAATCTCTAGAGTGTCCACAACCTTGGAATTATTATGCATATATTTGTCAAGTTCAGCACCACAGGAAGCCACCATCGAATGTGCTTACATGGTAAGGGATTTAGAAACATTGATGAGTAATTTCATTAGCCAGAAAGCGTCTCTAGATCCTCAGGAGCTTCCGGGGCCAAGGCGGCTCCTGGACCCTCCCTAAAGTGTTAGGATGGTAGACCCCCTCCACCGGCCCTGAAAGATGTCTTTTCCACTGTACCCACGTGACATGTTGACATAATTATGATCTGGCGCAGACAGGAGAATCTACTCTCTCCTTCTGTGCCTTGAGTCAATGGGGTTTAACGTCCACACGACACAAACTAGGTCATTTCGGGTCTAACATATGGTTCAATTTTATTTCAATAATTCGCTTGCGCTTAGGGAGGAAACCGGAGGACCCAGCGAAAACCCACGAAGTTGGACAGGCGATCCTTCTCCTTGTCACGTACAACCGGGTAAACGAAACCACGCCAGTTGACTCAATGACAGACGTTATGATACAGCGCGCACATGCTAACCATTCGGTCACCCAATGCCCCTATGAAAGATGAAAGCTTAATAATAATAATCTTAACAGAAACAATAAGCTTTCATATTTCATATGAAAGCTTAATAATATGACTTTAGTTTATTTATAGGGTTTCTCGAATTAACTATAATGTTCGCTTAACATGTGATAGTAGAGAATTAATAAAAACAAGGGAATGCACGGACTTTCTCTATTTTTCTCACTTTCTCTTATCTCGCGACAGTCAATTATTTTTATGAATAGTTCATTTCGGACCCAGGGGCGTCGGAACCCGGGCACTAGGGTATACAAATGGTACCCTGCCCTTTTCTGGGGTATACTAGGATGGCCTAGCGGTCTAGAGTCTCACGCTTTGATCTCTAGCTGGCCGGTCGCCTCTAGCTTGCGGGTGTGGTTACGATCCCTGATGTGAACGTATGTGGCAACCTCGTGGGTTTACTCAGGGTACTCCGGTTTCCTCCCACAGGAAAGACCCCTGCGCGTACGCTAAGATAATGAAATAAAAAAAAAAGACAACTTGTCTGCGATATCACCTTCGGTGGAAGCGGACGTTAAACACTAAGAACAAAAACATAAATCTTAACGTGAACAGTATTCGATTAAATATAATATATGTCTTTTAGGTCGCGAATGCTTATGGCTAATAAAAACAGCTTACTGACAAGAACGAGAGTTGTTGATTAGTCTTACGATTAATTTTGATTAATCCTTTTAATGACTACGATAAGACGATACGATGTGTCCTATCGTAGGTCATAGAGACCTGTCTAATTACCTCAGTACGCAAAATTGATTGATTCAAAATGACTACATACATTCCATAGGTTAGGGTAAGCAGTTTTGGATTTTTATTTAAATATTTTCATTAATATTTATGCAAACTAATCATATTTTCTCATTTAAATTTTGAATATGATATGTAGACTATGCATATCTATAACATATCTCTCCTTGTCGGTCAATTTTAGCAATACTTCGGCACTGGTACTGAACAAGGACAATTGGAATCTTTGGAATTTTTGGCAGGTCAGATGTATTTGTTTCCTAAAATATGTAAAACTATATACAGCATTATTAAATCATACCTCTGCTAGTGTAATAAATGTATATATGGGTCTTTTACTGCTATAAGTGGCCCAAAACAGGTTTTCAAATTCTCTACAGGTGAATCTGGAATACAGAATGAATTATATTTAAAATCACATGTTCTCCGCCAACATACTAAACTTTTAACACAGTTTTTTTTAAAAATTAACTTCGAAACAGAGGCTAATTGCCCAACTTCTAGTCGTGCCCATTTTTGACCCGGTTTATACCGATTAAGTTTGTGTTTGTATACCACCATAAACCTGAATTCGATTTGTACAGCTCACAATATGAAATGATTTGATGAAGTTTGATATATATATACTTGTTCAAGATTTACCGTTTTGCATTCTGGACATAAGAGACTAGCTATATTTATAGGTTTTGAGCGATAGTTACGTACGACCGGTTTGGTGTTTCTGATATTTGATTGTCTTCTAGATTTCGGCAAAATACTGCAAAACCACTACTCAGTCGAATACTGGATACAAACATGCATATAAAGAAGATAAGATAAAAAAGTATCATCCATATCATCACCAGTCCTCCATATCTGAAAAAAAAATCAATCATGACAAGGGGTAGGGTCGCCTGTTCAACCTCGTGGGTTTTATCCGGGTCCACCGGTTTCCTCCCACAGCTAAAGCCCCCTACGCCCAATCGAATTATTGAAATAAAATGGAACCATAACTTAAGATTTGTATTGTATCGAAACATCCATTGATGATAGCATACAATATAAAAGAGAGAGAGAGAGAGAGAAATGGGGTTTAATATCCACTCGACACAAACTAGGTCATTTCGGGACTAACATATGGTTTAATTTTATTTCAATAATTCGCTTGCGCGTAGGGGTCTTCAGCAGTGGGACGAAACCGGAGGACCCGGAGAAAACCCACGAGGTTGGACAGGCGACCCTACTCCCTGTCACGTACAACCCATACAATATAAACATGTACATATATTTAATAACAATATGACAAATAATATTTACAAATAAGACAACGGTAATTTTAATCTAGCTTATATATACATTTACTAACATGACAGCAGTATGTATTATCTGTAAATGTTGGGTATATGTGGACGGTACGTAAATCTTCATACAGTGGACATTCTAGTAAAAAATAAGCTTCATCTTCAACTTTGTGCATAGAGCATTCTTAGATTTTGGGAAACATTTTTGTATCTGCCCATTTCAATTTGAAGTGAGTGGGAACTAAATCGGAGTGCGGTCATTTACATTGTGCACTAAATGGGAACCCCATAGAGGCATACAATCCAATTTGCTTTAGGCTAACAACAGTCGTACAGTTTAATTAGAGAGAGAGAGAGAGAGAGAGAAAAAAAAATGGGGTTTAACGTCCATTCGACACAAACTAGGTCATTTCGGGACTTAGAAATGTTTTCTTTAATTTTATTTCAATAATTCGCTTGCGCGTACCGGTCTTAAGCAGTGGGAGGAAACAGTTTAATTAGAACTTCTGTAGGTAGGCCTAATTGATTAGGGACGCATACATGTACTTTACTTTTAATATACTGAGCGCCATGGAAAACGCATCACTTTTTTTCCCCAAATATTTTATTACTAGGTGGTTTTATATGTATAATATTATGCAATACTATGAACTATTGTTTCACACAATGCTCCCAAACGCAAAAAAATATCGGCCCGTGTGCACAAAAAAAATTGCACGAGATGCACATGCATGAAAAACCCAATATTCACGTGCAGCATTGTGTGTGAGCCCTTTAAAAGCATGTTTTCAACTTAATGTGCAGTACATGAACTGTGAAACGTCAATCTGTCGTAATTTGTTGTTGGACGTGTGAAGGAATCTAGCTAGAGGTCAGACATAGCTCCTTTACCCGAAATGACCTAGTTTAAAGGAGCTAAATCGCTAATATTTGGGACCTAGAAATTGACAAAAATGGATCGCAACGCATATAATAATGTAATATGAATGTATATAAAATATAAACTGATTTACATTCAATCGTTTCTAATTAAACTGTAATTTCTAATCAGTTATGTTCGGCGAAATACGCCAGAAGTCTCATGTGAATGTCAATCTTTAGCGTCTGGTTTTTCCAGTCTACGGGGGGGGGGGGGGTGGATGGCTGAATGGTTAGCGTGCGCGCGCTGTATCATAAAGTCTGTCATTGAGTCGACTGACGTGGTTTCGAATTCCCGGTTGTACGTGACAAGGAGTAGGGTCGCCTGTCCAACCTCGTGGGTTTTCTCCGGGTCCTCCGGTTTCCTCCCACTGCTAAAGACCCCTATGCGCAAGCGAATTATTGAAATAAATTAAATCATATGTTAGTCCCGAAATGACCTAGTTTGTGTCGAGTGGACGTTAAACCCCATTTCTCTCTCTCTCTCTCTCTTTCCAGTCTACACCGATGGTATTTATTGTGCATGCCCTCCAGATAAGAATATAGCGTCACCATTTGACATGTCTTGTGGAATATGTCTAGCCCCGTTCTTTGAGTCCCTTGTTCCAAATGGCGCTGTAACGTATTATGGAAATGAAATGAAATGGGGTCCTACTGTTCTGCTCCTATACTGGGCTAATGAAGACGGGCATACGCCATACAGTTGCTATGAGGGAAATTTTGCCCGGGCAGCGGCAATATATCGCCTACTCTTATATCGAATTCCAACTGCCAGGGGATCTTTTTCGTGCATTCCAATATATACACGGGACCTCGGTTTTTCGTATCATCCGAAGGACTAGACAGCTGTCCTTGTCAGGCCCTCGGTTCTGCATCACTGACAACGGGAAACCACGTCGGAAAATCTGGATGAACTTTCTCGGCAAATGCAGGGATCGAACACCCGACCCCCAGGCTAGCGAGCCGGCGTCTTAACCATCTAGCCACATAATATGGTACACAATTCGTGTACCAATGGTAAAATGTTTATTTTGTCTTGAATATTGGATATCAGAAGTCCATCTTTTCCCTGTAAGATCACAAGACCAATGTTGATTTGAATTGACAAATAATTCGTGTTTTTAATATCGAAGATTTTTGATAATATTGAGTTTGTGTCGAGTGGACGTTAAACCCCATTGCCTCAAAGCGCACAGGGAGAGAGGAGACGAATTCTCCTCTCTGCGCCATATCATTGTGTAAACATGTCATATGGGTACAGTGGATATGACATCTTTTCTTGCACTCGGAAAACCTCAGCAGATTCCAGTACCCTACACACAGAGTAAAAATATCGCAATTGTGATGGCGTTGGGACATATCACTTACGTCCCGAATTGACAGAATCACAATCAAGTGACATGGAATTCAACCCTGTGACAGTTCTGCCATACCTGTTCTCAGTCGGACAGTGGCGGAGCCAGCCGTCGGTGATTGGAGGGGCAAAGCTGGGGCAAAGTCCAAGGTTAAGGGGGCAAAGACACGAGCTTCAACTAGGGGTAGGGGGCCTCCCCCAGAAAATTTTGAAAAACAGGAAGCCGGAAATGCAGCCTGGTAGTATTTTAGGCACTGGTCGATGAGTGTCAAACGAACGGACTTGCGAATCACGACGAAGCCCACTCACGAGCGTCAAAATAGGGAGTCCTCCCCCAGAAAATTTGGAAAAATACTGTCCTACAGTATTCCCAGGCACCGATCGTCGAGATAAATAGATCTGATCAGACACCGTCGCCTGATCACCAGGCCCGTAGCCAAGGGGGGGCCTGGGGGGGGGCGAAGCCCCCCCTGGAAATAATCTTGCCCCCCCTGACAAAAAGTTGTCGACCATATTTATAAATTACCTATGTATGATTTGAATATATTTCTTGAAAAACACTCAGAATAGTTCGTTCTTAGAACATATAATTGTCGATTTCTATGCTTAAAAACTCGTTTACAGCTACTCAATTTTCAAAATTTTCCATACCCCCTGCTTGCCGGGGGGAGAGACCCCCCCCCCGGACCCCCCTATCACCGGGGCTGCCCCCCGGCAGCCAAAGTTTGGGCACTCGGCAAACCTCGACAGATTCGACGCAATTAGATGTAGAGTACCGGAATCTGCCGAGGTTTGCCGAGTGTAAGTTTGGGATGAGATGGTGTGAGTAGAATCGTGACGTATTTTAAGTAACAACTATGTTTTAGTTGTCAAGATTGGTTGAGATATATTTAATGCAGTCGGCACATGCGTTGTACTCCAAAAGTTCCCCTTTCACTCGACTGACACTATTTTTGGAACTGAGATAATTAAATCCGGAACGTTCAATCGGGTAACGGAATTCTCCCCGGTTTTCTCCGTGGTTTACCGAGTGCTTTTCTTGGGGGCAAAACGGTGCGCGCGAAAGGTGCAGAGTTCTGATGAATTTTATTTTGCTTTTCTCGACCAGGCCAGGCTACACTCTGTTTTAAATAGCAGCGTAATGATCATCTTATTTATGCTGAAAAATTTCAACAACACTTAGCTTTACTTCCCGTTATATCTTGTTCTTCTATATAATTTAGACCCGTGGACTTACCCGCCTTCTTTAATCGTTTGCTTCAAGTGGATAAAAAACCATGTCCAAATAAAACAGTGAATTGCTGTGACTAGAGGTGTAAACGTAGTATAATAACAAGTATCAGTTTGTCCCCACACTGTTCTATCATAGTTTATAATCACATTCTGGTTACCTTTCACTGTTACAAACATATCTGAAAACAGCAAACAGCTACTTTTATTATACTTGTAAACATAACCCAGAGGTAAGCTCGTACACATGGCGGACACGACAGCAATGCAGTTGACCACATTATGAATCCATTGTGGGATTCGTCGAATATTTGGTAGTCCTTGAAACATCATGTCGCTAATTTCTCACACAGTTATAATCATCCCGTGGTCTACTAAAATCTGCACCCCGTAGAAGTCAACAATATTGATGATATGATCAGGCTTATCTAGTTAGAACAGCCTTGAACAAGTGACGTCACTAAGATAAGTCGTCCACAGATTTTTCATCCGCGAGAGGATATATTTAACAATTTTCAGATAAAATTGAACTGTAACCTCAATCCTATAAATTTGTGGTTTTCTCCTTTCGCTCCCGTGTCTAATTATAGGCCTATATATAGGCTATCTAGAAATAATTTAGAGACTTTTGGCAAGGGGAATTTTTGCCATCCGTATCACGTATCCGTATCGTAATCGTTACGTGGTAAGTTGCGTCAATGTAGGTATGAGTTCTAGGCCTATTACAGCATGATGGCAGTTATCTACCAAGATCACCATCAGTACTAGTCAAGTGCCTAGCCTACAAATTACTGGAGGGAGTGAAGTCGCTCGATAGTCGCTGAGCTATTCGACTGTTTGGTTTCATTAATGTAGGGCCTATCATTTCAGAAAGTTTTTAAAATACCCCTTTACTATAGAATCACATCATTTACAAATTTGCAAGGTCCCACCTCCCTAAATTTAGCGCGCAGAACCCTGATTCTCGAAAACTTAACAAACTTAAAGGCTCAATACCACTCTTGTTGTACATGTAACTGAATAATATGTCCCAATCTTTATTCTGGTCAACAAATTGTACTATTTTACAATATTCCAATTAATTGATGATACAAATTTCATCTTAACACACCTAATTTAAAAAAATGGAAAAATTCAACTAAATGATTTGAAAAGCCTGACGTAAAGCTTTTCAAATGTGACTTGGATTTAAAAATATTTTTGAACCCTTTGGACAAGTAAAATAGGATTTAATGGATAATTTACACAACAGATGGGACACTAACACATCTAGTACTTAGAATAAGGCTATTTTTTTATTTTCAGAATCTTCGACTGTTTGGTTTCATTAATGTAGGGCCTATCATTTCAGAAAGTTTTTAAAATACCCCTTTACTATAGAATCACATCATTTACAAATTTGCAAGGTCCCACCTCCCTAAATTTAGCGCGCAGAACCCTGATTCTCGAAATCTTAACTAACTTAAAGGCTCAATACCACTCTTGTTGTACATGTAACTGAATAATATGTCCCAGTCTTTATTCTGGTCAACAAATTGTACTATTTTACAATATTCCAATTAATTGATGATACAAATTTCATCTTAACACACCTAATTTAAAAAAAATGGAAAAATTCAACTCAATGATTTGAAAAGCCTGACGTAAAGCTTTTCAAATGTGACTTGGATTTAAAAATATTTTTGAACCCTTTGGACAAGTAAAATAGGATTTAATGGATAATTTACACAACAGATGGGACACTAACACATCTAGTATACTTAGAATAAGGCTATTTTTTTTATTTTCAGGAGCTGTCAAGCCAGCAAGAGTGTTATTGTCCCTTTAACTAAAGATGAAATCCAAATTTTAGTAGATAGGACTACTTCAATTTTGATTGCCTAAGCACTAAAATCAATATTTTACCCATTCAAATTACTAAAATTTGGACTTTATCTTAATTAATATTTTGTGAAAACAAAATCCGTCTAATCAATCAGGTAGTCATGCGATCCTGAATCCCATGGAGTCTCGACAAAATGGTGCAATGGTGATGCAGATGTCACTATTACTAAGACGTGTATTGACTATGCTAGAAATGGTCAACCTGTTACGCTAGTTGCCAATGACACGGATATTTTGGTCTTATTACTGCACCACGCGAAATGGCGACAATTCATCTTCGCCACTTGGACAAAAAGCGCAACACCTATGACATAAAAACAGTCTGCAGCGCAATGGATAAAACTGTATTAGACAATTTATTGTTCATTCACGCCTGGTCTGGGTGTGATACCACTTCTGGTTGTTTCGGATTCGGTAAATTGGGACTTCTTAAACATACGAACAGTGACATCTTTCGGGAAGCTAGCAAGACAATAGCTTCACCTGGAAGGTCCCAGTCCGAAGTATCTGAAGCTGGAGAAAGGTTATTCTGTGCAATGTATGGTCACAACTAAAGTCAGGTACCTAAGGTACAAAGCTATGATCGCTAAAAAAAATTCCATTCAAATCAATAGACTTCCTCCAACAGCTGCCGCGGCCGAGCAGCATCTCACCGCGTTCATTGCCAGGTTAGAATTTGGATTGAACTAGACGTAGACGATGGCGTCGATCCTGTGAATTGGGGTTGGCAAGTGATAGAGAACAGACACGTTCCCATCGCGACTGTTCTTCCATCAGCACCAGACAACGTTTTGAATTTCATCCGGTGTAAATGTAAATCTTTGAAAAACCAATGCTCGTCATGTTCTTGTACACAGAATGGTTTAAATGTGTTGAAGCTTGTGGAGGATGCCACGGGGAGGATTGTCTGAAAGCAAACAAATCAGCATTGATTTAGAAGATGAATTTGGTACGTGGCAGAACAAATCAGAACTGAAGAATATTTTGATGATTTTATTGATGATCCGAATGAATATTTTATGGTGTCCAGAATGTTCCCCTTGTCTATTTGCTTGTTGTTGTTGCTATATTTACAGCATGTCTCCGCGATTTTGAATTTTGACATCACAGTGACGTCATAGTTTCGCCATTTTGTATTCTGACGTCACGGTGACGTCGTACGTTACTTTTGACGTCATTTCTGGAATCTTTGGTCTGTGTTGATACACAGTGTTTAAGGTCACAAGAGTTATGACCCTTGACCACTTTGAAAATTGCTGTGGATGCTCTACAGGCTAAAGTTAATGTTTGATTGACTTTAGATTTATACACAGTGTTCAGGGTCATGAGACGAAGAAGCTTACTGATTTTCAGCGATTTCCGATTGAATCCTTTGAAAATCACACCTCACTCTAAAACTAAATGCAAGGAACGGGCCTGTTTACATTGAAGCAAAACTACTTCCTGCGTACGCGTAAATACTAAACGGTCTATTCAAGAGTTAACATACTCTGTATATAATATACTGTATGCTTCGGGGGTAGCCACAACACGACAATTTTTGTTTTATATTTTTCCCATCTTGTTCATAAGGTAAATGTAATTTTTCAGATAACTCATGACATTTATACTTATTGTTTCAATAGATTCTAATATCCCCTTTTGCAGTCAATATGAAAGCTTTGATATCTGCTATGCAGATCTAGTTATTATTTGTTTTATCAGTTGTTATACCCCCCCCCCCCATTGTCATATACTGTCGTCACCCCTGTCCATCGATCCGTGCGTCCCTCCATCCGTCCATCAACAATTGATTGTGGACGTTCTATAGGGACAAAAGTAAATATCCGACGATTGACTTGAGATTCATAAACTGTAGTTCATCCAGATTTTTCGAATGGTTCCCCCTTGTCAGTGATGCAGGACGGAGGGCCTGACAAAGATCCCTTGGCAGTTGGAATTCGATATAAGAGTAGGCGATAGTGCCGCTGCCCGGGCAAAATTTCCCTCATAGCACACTGTATGGCGTATGCCCGTCTTCATCAGCCCAGCATAGGAGCAGAACAGTAGGACGTTAAACCCCATTTCATTTCATTTCATTTCATTTATAAGGTCATAGAAATGAAATGAAATGAAATGGGGTTTAACGTCCTACTGTTCTGCTCCTATGCTGGGCTAATGAAGACGGGCATACGCAATATACAGTGCGCTATAAGGGAAATTTTGCCCGGGCAGCGGCACTATCGCCTACTCTTATATCGAATTCCAACTGCCAAGGGATCTTGTGTCCGGTTATTTGCAGGTAGTAGGCTATGACAGATTGGTAATGCACGCAATCTGGAATTCAGGTGGGTACGGGGTGTCATTTTGGTTGCAAACCCACGTAAAAAAGGTGGAGTACTTTCTAGTTCCTGTGTTCACTGGCCGAAATAGCAATTTCACACCAGTTTTAAAGATACGTCATGTAAGGATAAATCTGCCTACACTGTCGGACAGTTTTCTGGCTTCATGTGTTATTAAATTATTATTTAGACATTTATTCACACGACAAACCCATAATAATCAACTCGGGTGGCTTGGGTATTAAGTGGATTAGACCACCCGCTCCATTTATTCCATTAACGTCAAAATGGTAAATCGAGACATTTATTATATTTAGCATGACAATCGAAACTTTGTCATTCTTGTCAAGGCTTCAAACATTCATAACTCAGAATAAAGTAAATTTGGAATTTTCAATATATTATTCATTTTTCATTATCTATTCATTTTCCACCGTGAAAATCGGACCGAAACTGTAGGAGAAAATGGCCACTCCCTGTATGCAAATAGTCTTAAAGTATGTAATATTGAGGATGTTAACACTCCAGAGGTCACATTTTGATGAAACTTAAAACAGGTGTTTATCCGCCAATGATCTCATTTCTTTTCGATAATCGTGAGTTGATATGGTCTTGAAACGTTAACTAATGTTTAATTAATAATTTAGATAACCTAAAGAAGGACTTGCAATGGGGAGCTTTTAGCTCTTGCATAATGCATGTTTAATGAACAAAAATACACTGTTACTTGATGGTAAAGTAGAAGAAAATCGGTGACTTTTCTGAATGTGGGTAATATAGTGTTGTGGGTAGAATTAGAATCCCCGCGCCGTGGGGTCCCGGCTCGTCCACGTTCTGTTTAAGGCCCTCGTCGCCGTCAGGGTAGGCCTATCTGGGGTAATCGGGCCTAGTCCGGGCCTTGCAGAACGCTACTATGATGGCCAGCGCGCCAGTCTGCCGCCACTATAGTTCACTTCCAAGTGTGCAGGAAAAGACGGGCCCTGCTGATGAGATAATATGTGATTAATATTTTTAAAATAGCTACCCTAGCAGTTCGTGGCTGTGTATTTAGACAACGATACGTTAGATAAGAAAGTTAACTCTTGAAAAGAACTGTGGAGGAAAATGTTGGTCCCAAAAAATGTCTTTAATTCACAGACACACTATATAAGCGGCTCACGCGCAGTATTCCATCACTAATAATGAAATGATCGAATGAATGAAATGGGGTCAAGTGCCCCGTTTTTCTACTTCAATCGGGCAAATG